TACCTACCGAGGGGGGAAGACTGGAATTTTACGCGTCGTATGACTAATGATTTCCTACCCGAAGAGGGGACGACGAACAACGAGTATATCCGAGCCGGTTACACAAAGCGAACGAGGGTGCGGTTGCCGTGGAGACGGCTGGTTGATGCCTATTGATATCCTTCTCCCCTCGCGTATGGCGTATGTCTAAAGCTGAAATCCCCCTCGGTACTACCACAGGACGACTATTTCTACAGCCGTGTTATTTTTCAGAATAATATTCTGTTAAAACATATATGAAATATTGTGTTTTTACACAGCAAAAACTAAAGAAATAATCCGAATATTTTTTTATATACCTACCCAAAATATTCTCGACATTAACATAGAAAAATGTACGGTTAATTATGAAAAAAAAATAATAATAATGAATTTGTAAGAACAATATATCACTGGCCACTGCATCGGTACATATTCTCTAATGTAATCTAATATAGCATGAATATATAAAAATACGTTTCAATATGTACCACAAGCTAAAATATTCAGAAATATGTACGAAAAAACACGAATTCGATAGATTACATAGGTTATGGAACGTAACCATTTCTTACTCCAATAAAACGGTAGATAAATATATTCGGTAAAAATATATTTTTGTATATAAAAACCCGACATTACTTGGGTATTATAAATATTAATATTTTATTATCTGTAATAGGCTTAAACAATTTCAACTAGTGATTGACGAATAGTCAGTGGCGTAGCTAGATGAGAAGGGACACCGGTGCAGAAAAAATCTCTAAACTTTGAAATANTGGTCTATTAATTCTTGTACAGATGCGACATTTTTTGAATCAAATTTTTTTTTAATATTTTCTTGGAAATCTCGAAGTATACCTAAATGATTACATTTTCCCTAGATAGTTATAGCATATTGAAGATGAGATTGTACAAACGCACAATATACAGATGTTTACAACTAAATACTAATGCAACGTTATGTGCGGACAATAATTTTTTTAGTTTGAATACTCCAACTAAGTTCTCCATCAATTATACATCCTAGATATTTATAAATACCTACCGGAGATATCGAAGTACAATTACAATTTTTATTATTTTAACAAAAATATTCATGAATTATTAACTTATTTTTTTTTCAACTCTTGCGGAGAAATCTATACACTGCGTTTTGGAAGTATTTAAGGATAATTATTTTTCTATTAGCCAATTCCAAACTTTAGAGAGATGATTATTAGCTTTTTCATACAATTCTTCTGAACTATCTCCATCGACTATAAGAGCTGTATCATCTGCGAATAGTACTAAATTTCCACTTATTTTAATGTTTGTTAAACTATGGACATAAATAATAAATGACAATGGACCCAGACATGTTCCTTGTTTGACACCAGAATGAATAAATTTATTTCAGATTTTGTTTTACCAATTTTTGTACAACATGTTCGGTTCACTGAATATGATTTAAACAAATTTTCAGCTATTCCCCTTATTCATATGTTTTCTAATTTTTAGTAGTAAAATTTTATGATCAACAGTATCGAATGCTCTTTTTTAGATAAAGGAAAACAACAAGCTTGTTTTCTTTATCAGTTTCAACATATGAAAGTAATTTAGAAATAGCGTTCCCCTTGCTTTTTTTCTCTCGAAAACCAAATCAGAAATCAAGTAATAATCTGTTTTTATTTAAAAAATTTACCACTATTGTATAAATACATTTTTCAAAAATGTTTGCTATATTTGATATTAGAGAAATTTACGATAATTATTTGGATCTAGTTTACTTCCAATATTTTTATATTTTATAAATTTTTCAATTATATTATATTAAGACAATCAGCCAATCACTAATGTATTTCAAAAAATAAATATTTTTATAGTAACTATATTTTTGTGTTTATCTTATAAAAATTTAAATGCATATTTTACAATGTTTTATTGCATACAAATCATAGTCCTGATAATTAGATTAGATTCAAGCCGATTCATAAATATTTATAGATTATTTATTTTGAGGCTTATAAAATTACTTCAGTATCATTTAGTACACCTGGGTCATGGGTAATACACGACCTTTAAAGCCACTAATTTGTCAATATGTACGAAAAAACACGAATTCGATAGATTACATAGGTTATGGAACGTAACCATTTCTTACTCCAATAAAACGGTAGATAAATATATTCGGTAAAAATATATTTTTGTATATAAAAACCCGACATTACTTGGGTATTATAAATATTAATATTTTTTTTATCTGTAATAGGCATAAACAATTTAAACTAGTGATTGACGAACAGTCAGTGGCGTAGCTAGATGAGTAGGGACACCGGTGCAGAAAAAATCTCTAAAATTTGAAATATTGTTTTTTTAAGTGTAAATACTTTCCTCGGAACCATAAATGGCAATAATAAACAGATAAATATCAATCGTAAATATATAAAATAATAGAGGAATCCAGTTAATTATACTGTACAAGGAATAATTATTATCAGCAGGGTTAGGATTTGTATGATAATAAAACAATAACATACGCACAAAAATAAAGTTAAAAAACATATTTATTATTGAAATAAATCAGTTATTAACTGATTGTCTTAATATATTATAATATAATTGAGATTAAAAATTAAAAATGATTTATTTATTTTTTAATGTATAATTGACATTCAATTGTTTAAATATGTGTACTTCTTTCCATGGCACATGATGTAGTTAACGCATATTTAATCAAAGTAATTTGTCCAGGGATTAAATGAAATTTGAATTTGTCTTCGTCCGATTAGACATTAAATTTATCGATTTGCGTATTATGTAGACGTGTAGTTTTCTTTGGATAGAAATTAATATGCGTGTCACTTAATTAAATTTAAAAGTCATTAACGCCATATTTACGTATTTGTTTACTGTGTTTCATTTTGCGTATACCTACTGTATAATTTGTTTTTTGAAGAAAATAATATTGCGTTTCACAGCATACGTTGAAACCGTCACTTGCAGAGAAATGATTAAATGGCGGATTCAACCTTTTATCGTAATAAAATCCTATTTTTCTGTAATCAATAGGTTCGGCGTTCGTCACGACAAAAAAAAATTACTTTTTAAACTAACGACTTTGACGTGTGTCATGAAAAAGGCAAATCTTAAATGATTTGGCACATTTTTACATGCATTTAAAATAATTTACATATATATATTTGCAAATTGGAATTATATGAACAATTTATTATAAATTAAAAAGTTCGGAAAAATAATATTTAATTCGGTTTGTTTTTTTTTATCATTTTTTACTTTCTAAATACAGCGAAACAACGTTTACACAATAGTTATGCTGAAGTTGTTCAATATTATCGTAAATGAATATAAATGGATGTAAACCCTTTTATATCTATAACGAATTATTTATACCCGTAATGCCTAAACCTGGTTTAAAATTAATTTTCGATGCGTGGGGGAAAATCCAAAGACACCCCATCGTCATATACTTTGATTTCGAGGCAATATTGGAGAAGACGGATGAGAAGAAAGGAAGCAGTACTAGCGTAATCCAAAACCATAAACCGATGTCGTATGGGATTTTCGTGAAGGCGGCCGACCATGTCCCAACCGGATTATTAGAAGAATTTGAAATACTTACTGAACCGATTATTTACCGTGGAAATGAAGAAGAAGAGACCGATGTAGCGAAATATTTTGTAGAAGCGGTAGTGGAAATTAGTCAGCAAGTCGAAAAATTATTAAAGACTAATATAACAATTATTAAGACGGACGAAGAGCGGGAGAATCATTTCACCTGTGAAAAATTTAATTTATGTAAAAATAAATTTTCTTTTACAAATTATAAAGTCGCTGACCACAACCACTTGTCGGGCAAATTTAGGCAAACCCTGTATAATACTTGTAATCTGAAATTACAAGTACCTAAATTTGTACCATGCTTTTTTCATAATCTTTCTAATTACGACTCACATTTTATCGTCATGGAGCTGCGTTATGACGCGCAAACGATTTCCGTTATTCCTAACAGCGAAGAGAAATGTATTTAATTTTCGAAATATATGAGTAACACCTTCTCCGTACGATTTATAGACACTTATCGATTTCGATATTATCGTCTATCGTCTCTTGCATCGTACCTACACCAGGGGTCGGCAACCTGCGGCTCGCGAGCCACATGCGGCTCTTTCGGTCTAAAGTTGCGGCTCTCCAGCTGCACACACAAAAATTAATATTTTAGTTCAAATACAATATTTTATAATATAAAAAAAAAAGTATATTATTTTTGTTGCTTTTGGAAATATGAAATAATACATCAGAAAAATAATTTGACAGTGCTCGCATGGAGTACAGTCTATAGTTGTAATATGTTTATTATAGAGTATAATATAATCGCGACGCTATCTACAACTAATTGGTCATACGCCGTCACGCCAAGACATGCAAAGCCAATGCTCCCATTGATGTATTCCCCTATAATTAAAAACTGTTTTTTTTTTTTATCATAAATTTATTATATTATTATAATTAATTTCATTATTATTATGTCTATTAAAATTTAAAAATAAAATTATATTTAAATACTTAAGAAAATTTTTAGTGGCTCTTTAAAATCTGGACAATTTTGTACATTGTAACTTTTGGCTCTTCCGTCAAAAAAGGTTGCCGACCCCTGACCTACACACATCCGATTTTGAGAAGTTTTGTGAAAACAAAAAAATGTTTAACATCGAAGACATGCCGATTGTTACTCGTAAGGGAGTGTACCCGTGCGAGTACACGAATAGCTGGGAGAAATTGGAAGATGAAATTTTACCAAAGAAAGAACTATTTTACAGCACGTATATTATTGTTCGCCAATCCCTAGTTACAATAATTATGATAAATCAATAACCGATTATTTTACTTTTGGTGCATGTCAGAATTCCGGATAAACTATATAATATTTAATACATACCCTGAACAACACAATAATAGTTATGTACTTTATTACCTGTGTAATATTTAAAAAAAATACTTGCAAATACTTCAAATACATTCGATGAATGTACAAAAAAACTATTGCTAATACAAATTTTTTTTTAAAAAAAAGCAAAATAATTATAATTCTAAATCATTTCTATAAATATACATATTAATTTGCCGATATGATTTGTGGAATTATTATAAGTTTCTGACTATATTTGTGACACAATTTTAATTATAATACTTATGATAAATTTGATTATAAAAAATAAAAATAAAAGAAGTTTTGGTGATCAATGACTATGACTACTGTAATTTAGATGGGTAGAAAAAGATTCAACAGATACGAAAATTGTAACTTTTTCATTTTGTCGTCGGAAACGATAGTTGGCATAAACAAAAATACAATTTGTATCGGTAGTGATGATCCCTTCCCCACCAGTATGTAGGCACGTATCGTTTATCAGTATTTAGTATATCAGTTTCATATTTACACATTTTGAAAAGAGACTCTGTGGGTAATATCGTCTATCAATTTTATAAATCAAATTAAAACTGAACGCATTTTTTCTTCGATTTTCCAAGATTAAATTGTTGTATTATATATTAATATTTTATTCATAATGAAATGAAAAATTTAACAATCAATTGATTTTAATTTTAGGTAAAGAGTATATATTTAATTTTATAAGAATTTTCATTAAAACGGAAAAAAAAATACTACTCGTTTACTATTGGCCAACTTTAATCCTAATATGTATTCCTTATAGACTTATTAATAAACATATTAGCATATTTCTCATGTACATTTAAGTCTAGTGCTAAGCTAAAAGGATTTTTGGAGTTATTGGTTCTGCAGTTCAAAAAGTAGTGTCAACATTTTTAAAATTTGGATCACCTAATAGCTCGCAAAATTGTAAAGTGCTGCCTACACTATTGCTTAATACTTGTGCAACTAATTTTACATTCGTTTTTTCGTTATAAAAGTAGATATCTGTATTTCATAATGGACGTATGTATAACCCTGGAAAATAATCGCATGGACAATATAATCTCGGAATCGTATATAGGTGAACTATATTTTCACGAACTGTAGAAATCAGAAAAGTATCTAAGCGTATAGTCACGGACTGTAGAAACCCGGTAGAAAATAAACACACAAACCGTATGTGTTGCAGACAGTATATTTCCGGAATCTAAATTTTAAGGGACACTAACGCTGTCAAGCAGTGTAATGTATAGTTACAAATATAATAAATGGTTTAAACTTTTTAAGGATTTGTAAATTAGCAACGAAATGTAACCTGTAACAGTAAATGTGTTTACATTTTAAAAAGAGCAAAGCGAGGACTATTTTTAAGTGGTTATTACTTCACAAATTTTGATATCCCTGACTTCAGTCCCCCTCCCGAATCTCAAATACTATTTGTGCCTATATCTAGAAGAGTACTAAACGAACACTCACATTGCCTCAGCGAAAGTACTGTTGGCAGGCACGACTGATATAATACTTACAGATTACAATAGCATTGACACCCGTTAAAATAATTTATATTTTTAATTAAGTTTTTTTTTAGTTATTACATGTACTTATGATTTTAGATTCTGAACAGAACGATTTTATAATAATGTATGTTTTTATTTATGTGATATGGGTACACAATTATTTATGAAATAACTATTATAACAGTTGATGCAGCTGTTCATAACGCTCTGTACAGGGACAGTAAAGTTGTCTCAATGGCATATACATCGATGACTACTGTGTAGTGTGTATGTTGCCTATGCTATTATACTTTAAAATCACTACTCAATTATAATTATTCTTTTTTTTTTTATTTCGTTGTAAACATAATAAGAGATTACAAATTAAAATAAAATAAAATAATTACCATGACAAACTGACAAATATTATGATTGATAATAATAATTATTATAGGAGTACTACATAACTATATCTATCATCATCGATGATATTGTTACATTTAATGGTTTTAATAAATCGTAATTGAAATATAATATAATATGAATCAAATATAAATTATCGTTTGTTTGTTAATCCACCATGTACCATATTGTATTATAGAATAGTGTACAGATCAGAATATTAGGATATTAAGTGCAGTAAATATGTACCAAATAAACGAGGAATCCGAAGAAATCAGAAATGAAATCGAAATGCACAAATTACGACAAAAACTAGCTAACGTGCGTCTTAAATCGGAAACCGTCAAGACGTTCGAGAGCTTGATCGACGACGACGACGAAATGACGGAAACGATCTATCGGCCAAAAGCGTTTGATGCTAGCGATGAAACCGTGTTAGCAAACGATGGACAACAGCAAGCTGACGAAGACCAATCCGCGCTGCCGTCCCACGATCCGAATGTCACTGGTGGGAAACGTGATGAGGACGATGACGCTGCAACAATGGGAAGCTGGGCATATTCTCGGGATGAAGAACGCGTGAAGACGAATGATGGTGACGATGAAGACAAAACGGCAACAGAAGAGGTACGCTATTGCGTTGGTATTAGCGGTGATGTCGTTGACATGTGGTAAGTTTGAGAACAGAATGATACAATTATAAGTTTTCATATTAATTCCTATCAGAAACTTGTTCTAACCAAAAATTTGTCGATCACCGAAGACGCTGTGTTTTTTAAGTTTCTAGAAAACTTTTTTTATAATAAGGGAAAAACCGAAATAAATTTAAAACGTTAGAAAAACAGGAATATTTACATAACTCTCTGGTTTTCGTATATAAATATACGAGTACATACTTTTGTTTTTAGCTAAAGATATTTTAAATGTTCAATTTATTTGATCAAACAAATGGACCTATACAAATGCTCGAATATTTGAGGACCAAAGTTTAGTGTAACGTCTCAATTTTTGTTTTTTTTTTTGTAAGTTAATTTTAAGAAATTAAAGGAAATTCGTAAATTAATATGTAGATAATTGAAAATTAAGTAATAGTAAAATATCGACAGTACAAAATAAAAACAAAATTATTTTATCATACCATTAAATTTTTCGGAAAAATGATGTAGGAAATGTCAGCTTTACAGACTACTGCGAACACGAATCGTACGCATCGGAAGAGTCGTCTTTGTCCTTCTATACGACCGTAAAAAAGGCACCATTGCGTCTGAACACCCTCGAGACGATCGGCGTGGTCCATACCCTGGAAAAATGGATTGACCGAATTGGAGTTTTGAACGCAATAGATGAGACGGAAAGCGGGGATATGTCACATGCTGCGGATTACCATCTACGGGCATTTGATTCCCAAGGACGCATGACGAAAATTGCCGAACTGCGGGAGTTCGTGTCCCGAACGCTCGCGCAAACCACCTGGGAATTGCAATCGTCCAACACGTTTACAGCATTGCAACGGCTTAACGACTCGATGCTGAAGACGGCTAGTGACGAACGGCAGCTCGAAAAAGAGTGGGTTTCCAGTCGGATCGCGTTGACTGATCTACAGACCAGGAAGAAGAGGTACAAAAAACTTCATTTTGTAAGTATACATACCTATAGTTAGATACCAAAGTGGATATATAAGGTGAACCAGCTAACATCCTCCCATCTATTTAAATGAGAACATCATATTTACCACAGATGATAATCCCAGCAGAGTGTGCTGTTTGCAATAGGTGTCCTGTTTTTATTACACCAACTAAGTATTATAATACTGAAAATAGTGAACATTTGTAATTATTAACAACTGTCGACGAGTATTATAAATTATTATTATTTATTCAACCGAAAATCTGATATTTCACCTAGCTTATTAATATTTAAAAAACAACGAATGTTTTGTTCCCAGTTGAAGTTTACTTATAGTTAAACAACTTGTAAATAATAATGCAAGTTAATACCTAATGGATAATATTTTTAAATTTAACAATTTTTTGGGAGGGAGAGATATAACTATTATATGTATTAATAATAATAAATTATTATTATTGATTGGATTTTAGGTATTTTTATTGAGCAAGGCATTTCAAATTGGAAAGGAGGTGACTTGAAATAGATTAATTATACATATCCAGGTTTGAAACATCAAAATAATATGCATAGGTCATCTAAATGTATGAGTTCTATAAAAGGAAAACAAACTTTTATAAAACTGACGGTTTTTGAAAAGTAATTATAATAAAAGGTCGTTATAGTAAACTTACGAAATAGATAAACCTTAACAATAAATCGAAATCTGTCCAAAAAGGTTTTTGTTTTTTTGCTGTTGCTATTGATATTATAATGTAATTAACTTATTTAATTTTACTAATAACTGATTATTTTTTAAATAAAATATAATAATACATTTTTGTTCTTTTATAAGAAAAATAGTTCTACATAATAAACTTTTATGTAGGCATTTTTTTAATTTTAGTATATTTCAAATTAATATATTATAAGGTCTTGGTAAAATAATAGAAAAATTACAATTAAGAGTTCTTTATATTTTAATAGTTTAATAAATTATCATCTTTATTTAATATATTGTATGAGTTACACTGTAATGTGACAAATAAAGCTAATTAAAAATAATAATGTTTAAAGAATGCAAATAAATTGGTTTTTACATTATTATGCATTCATATGGAACAGCAATTGATAACAGCGCGCTCTAGTAGTCAAAATAGTTAAAATAGAGTGATTTGTGTCATTTTTTTTCGAGCTGCTACACCTTATATATCCTTGTTAGGTATTATAAAATCTGCTGTTCAACGAATACATTTTGCAGAAGGATTTTTTTGAAAGTAGATAGAATTTTAAAATTTGAACGTCACTTTTTCCTCGATTTAAGTATACAGTATTTCCGTGTTTATAAATATACGATCGTCAACATATATTTTTGGAATTGAATAGGAATATTCGAATAAATTGAAAGAGAACGTCTAAGATTGTTACAGCTTCTATAGGAATACTAATGAAAAAAAACGGTTTTAGTTCTCACATGTGTGGGACACTGTTGTACGTGAGAAATTAGAAAGGTAGTAGAGGGAAAATTTAAGATATATCTGTAAACAACGATAAACCGTTGCTAACGAATAAAACGATTCTGAGTGAAGTTAAATTGATAATGATGTCAACATGTCAATATGTATGTTGTATTGTGGTGAAATAATTAAATAGGCATTATATATTTTCTTTAATATTTGTTTAAAATTGTACCAATTTTCCCGTTTTTTCCATGTTCTTCCCTGTTTTTCACATTTGCTGGGAAAACTCTTAGGAAAATCGAAAAATGACTTCCTTAAAGGAATTTTCCAGTCAGATTTTCTTTCAAAAAAGTGCTATTATTGTAAATTGGAGCAAAAGTAGAAAAGTTGTTTACAGGAAAAATGAAGGCCAAAATATTTTTCAACTAATTTCTAAATTTCGTATATTTTTCTGTTTTTCCTCTTTTCACTTCCTGAACCTACCGAATAAAATTTACGTAAAAATCTCACAAAATTTAAATGTCTATAAATAACTCAAAAATGGCTTAAATTTTTTGAAAATTTGACCACGTTTTAGAAAAGTATAAATATGTGTTTTCTGTCCAAATTTTAAGTCCATAAAGTTGATACAAATATTTTAACTGAATTAAAACAAATAACAAAATTAAAAAAAAAAAAAGAGCTGATACTGGAGCGGCCACTGTTGTAGGTGAGAAATTGGGAAGGTAGGATACATAAGGTAATTTCATTTAGATTTGTTAGCAACGATAAACCATTGCTTGACAAAAGACGTCTCTGAACGCAGTAATACATAATTTGAAGTGCCTTTTTTTTTTTTTTTTTTTGCGATTTTTGTTTAAATTTGATTTCAAAATGCTTATTAAAAAAAAAAAAAGCCGTCTGATGATTTCGAAAATTTGACCACGTCTAGGTGACTCTTTAAAGTACAATTTAAACAACTTGACCTTTCAGAAAAAGTGTTATACGTAAAAATCAAAGCAAGTTTACTAGGAAAAAAACGTGTCCACAGACTAGAACAAAGAAACAAAAAAATAAACATCTAAGTAAAACCAATAGCTACCCTCGGAATCTAAAATAATAAAAGCATTATTTTCGTACAGTTCCCGTTTTTCTCACTTTTCTCTTTTATTGGGAAAACTGCCAGGAAAATCAAAAAATGACCTCCTTAAAGTACCACCCAAAGAAAATTTTCTTTCAGAAGAGGATCTACGTTGTATACATCGGAACAAGATTTCTGGTAGAATTGTTGTACAGTAAAAAAAATAAATTAAATTAATAAACATTTTAGTAAATCCAATACATTCTTCGCTACACTCAGAATCTAAAATGTATACTTGTGTCACGCGTTTCAGATAAAACTATGGAATATTGAAACGGAAAGAAAACGTTTGGCCGAGGAACACGAGAAAAAGATGATGCTAATAAAAACAGAAAACGAGTACGTGCGAATTTGGGAGGATACGCGTTTAAATGAGTCCAAAGAGATACAGAGGGAAAAGTTGCATGGTATTCGGGCACAAATAGAAGTTGTGGAAATGGAAAGTTCTGTCGATGATGATTGTATGGCCGAAGTTAAGCGCGTGTTTACAAAAAATTCGGTCGATATGGACAGGCGTGCACGCACGTGGGGTAAGATTCACAAGGGGGATGTGGGCGTCATGGACAAGGACATAATGACGCTGGAAACTGAAAAAGAACAGTTGGATAAGTCGCATGTACAATTGCAGGCCTACGTCGACGAATTGCAGACAGCGATTGATGAAATCGAAGGGCACCAACGCGATCGTGCAGAACGGATGAGATTAAAAAAGGAAAAAATGGCCATAAGGATACAAACATTCTGGAGAGCCATGATGGTCAGGAGATTTTTGGGACCTTTCAAACCACTGAAGGAGCTGTTTGATAAAAAATCTAAGAAAAAACCTACCAAAAAAAATAAGAAATAATTATAATGATACCTAGTTTAGAATAATTATTTTAAGATAACAAAAATACCTACTTCAATTATCTATTTCTCTGTATCCTGCAGTAATTTTGATAACAATATTATAATATACATATAAAAAATCCATTCGAACAATTATATGTATGGTTTCTCACCTTTCAAATAAATTTATAATTTTAAAAATATATTTTCTAAGTTAATATGTACAAATATAATAGTATTGAGAATATTTATAAATTAGAAGATTTTTTTTGTTCGTCAATAAAATATATAAAATTATAGCACTTTTTCAAAAGGAAATCTGACTGGAGCGGTACTTTAGGGAGGTAATTTTTTGATTTCCCCAATAGTTTTCCCAGCAAATGTGAAAAACCAAGAAAAAACAGGAAATAGGTACAATATTAAACAAATATTATTAAAAAAAATATTTAAAGCCTTTGTAATTGTTTTATCATTATAAAACAAATATATTATTGATAAGGAACACTATCAATTGAACTTCAATCAGACTCGATTTTTCGTTGCTTACAGATATATATTAAATTTTCCCTCTTCTACCTTCCCAACTTCTAACCTACAACAATGGCTCACCCATGTACGAATTATGACAGTCTTTTTAAAATTAATATTTTTAATATTCTCAATTATTGGAAATTAAAAGATTTAGTTTTCTGACTACCTAAAATACAATAGAAAATATTTAATACCGGAGCAACATATAATCCACTATGAATGTATAAACTACACACACATTGTTTTCCTCATAAGAATTGCAAAAATAATGAAAACTATCGGAAACTATCCAAATCTAATAAATAAATAAATAATAATTGATAATGCATCACAGTGAATGAATCTTGAATTCATAATTAGTTATTAATTATATTTATTATTAATATAATTATACATTAATATCGATTAACGGTCATATACCGTATTGATAATAGTATAATATCATTGGGGCATTGAATAATTTTCATAATTCAATAATTAATACTGTACAGTGTACTTTTTATACATAATTTTCAAGTATAAATTACCTACCTACCTAAATAAAAATTTAAATTTTTGAAACTTTTTTTTTTTAATTTTCCAAATAATTAGGTTATTTCAGAAATATATTATTTTAATATTCTTCAATTTTTCTGAAACTTTAGAAAAAAAAAATTTTTTTTCTAAAATATCAGGAGTTCCAAACAAAATTTCCAATAGTTGTAAACCATCCCCGAAGTTTTATTAAATTATACATAGCAGCATTCACTTCTGGTAGGAACAATATGTATTGTTAAAATGCTTTCATCTTTTCCTGTGTATAAATATACCAGAGTAGTAGTAGAATCCAGATTCTGGCGCAGTTTGATATTTCAACTTAAAAAAATTAATTTCTGATGACCATTCACATTCTTTTCTTTTTTTGTTCTTTGTTCACATACTTAAATTTAATAATATTTTTAAAAAAAATTAAATTAAAAATAATAATTAAAAAATTTAATTAAATATTATTTAAAAAAATTTAATTTAATAATATTTAAAAAATGAATTTATAATCTCCATTCACATAATTTAATTTGATAATATTTAATACTTTAAGATATGAACAGTTGAATTTGTCAATGTAAAATATCTAACCATGGTATCGTAAATGGTCACAAATGGTCTGTTAAATTTAGCAATATAATATGCAGTGCGAAAAATTAATGTAGTTGATTGATTTTTAAGGAATGCCGATTTTTCAAATTGTTTAGAAAGAACTTTTTCTTTATTCTGCATTATAAAATAAAAAGCTGTCTTATGCGCTTTGGTACTAGTATATCTTTTTATTTTCTTCTGAAGGCTAGTAAGTCTAGTTTCTTTTTTAATGCATTACCCCCATTAATTTGACACGATGACCATTCTTTGGAAATTTCAAAATCTCCATTTATAAATGTTTTTAAGTTACTAACTTCAAAACAAGTTGTACACCCCAAAAGTCCATTCTGACAATGAAGCCAAGTATATTTTTGTTTTTTTTCTGCCCATTGTTCAGAGGACCAATCTGAAAGCCTTAACATTTTAACAATTTCTGAATTATTATTGGTCATTTGTTTTATATTTATCTATAAAAAAAAAAATATGTAAAATAATGAAAAATGTTTTTATTTGACCATTTGGATTACATTAACTTTGATTGATATTTTGAAATAATTCTCATAATATTAATTGTTTTATTTCTTTAAATAGTAAATGACTAGGTAATNAATTTTTAATAGGTAAATCATAACTTAAATTTAAAATTGTTCATATTTGTTTCAATGTATTATGTGCTATTTATTTTCCTGGTTAATATCTTGGTATTTTAGAAGTTGATTATGTAAGTTATTTCTTATTTAAATATTATGGATTTCTAGAGCAAGGTAAGATGGCTAGTTTATCATAAAAATGGCATAAATATATAAAATATAGTAATATCTGTTAGGTGGTTAAAATATTATTTTACCTGAGGCACTTCTGGATTGTTATCAGAATCACTTGATGACACTTCCATGTCAAAAGATATATTCTTCTTTGTTTTTATTTGAGATTTAATTACCTAATGAAATAGTTTTTTTTTTATTAATTTAACAAAATTAAATAAAAACAATTTAGGTACCTACCATTTTTAGATACATAATTTAAGTGTTAAAAACTGCAACTACCCTATGAATTATTTCAGTGAAATATTAAAATTAAAACATAATACCTACTATAAAATTTTGTTTAATGCTATTGTTATGCTACAAGTTAATACATTATAATTAGTTAGATTTTAACATAATAATAATATAAAATATCTATGTCATAATTTTTGCATACTATACTACTATATTACGGTAACTATTACTAGTTATGTCTCATAATCTGTCGATAATATTATCACGTACGTATTACGTGCTCGTTTCGTATTTTATCTTAATTAGTATTTTATCTATTATTATTTTACTCGTATTATATTTATTTATATTTATTTATATAATATAAATTTGTTATATTTTTTTCTCATTGAATAAGTTAATTAATATAAGTTCGTAAAATGTAAAATTTAAATTTGTATCAGCTTTTTTTTATTAAATTAAATTTTTAAATAAATACGTTAAAATATTTTTCCACGACAAACTGTATTTCTGATTTTATTTTGTACCTAGAAATTATAAACTATATATAAAACTATAAAAAAAATAAGTGATATAAAGAGGGGGGGAGGGTTGAAATCAGGGAGTGGTCCGTGACGGTGAGAAATTTATAAAAGTGGTCCGTGCCTATTGTTGAGTTGGGAACCACTGATTTAGAGAGTATACGCTAAAAAAAAAAACTAGAGAAGTGGGTATACGCCATATACCCCCGTATACGCCTCAATACACCACTGAATAAGTAATGCCTAAGTGCAGGCCAATTAAATATTTTCCCCCAGTATTTTTCACCTATGCACCATTGGTGCTATACTTGATAATCGGAATATACTTTTTGGTAGAAAGTGTTTATATAAAAAAAATAGAAAATAAACATCATTGTAAAACCAGTACATGTATACATACAATATTTTTATGGTGTTGAATTTTAATCTTAAATGGGAAACTCACTATAAATTACTAAATTGATCACCAATACTAATCAGAAACTGAAGTAAAATTGTGCCACACAATAATAAAAAAAAAAAATGTGTGGTCATGTCCATCATTCATAAAAATATATGATTTTATAATAAATATTATAGGTTTTAATAATTATAATATTTTGATCTGTTATTAGAAATATATAATAGAATACTAATAATAATTATTTGATGAAAACCTACACTATTCTTTCTAATATTGATCTTTAGACCCAATAAATTGTTCAGATTCTCCACTATTCTCTTGATTCATCATTAGTATCTGAGTTTGCAGTAGCTCCTATTTGAACACTTCTTTAAAGATCCCCAACTTGATAATTTTGATCAGAATTTGAATAACTTTTTAATAACATGTCTTATTAGGAATCTTGTTGGTTAAGATCTGAAATACTATTAGCTCATTTTCAAGTAAACCTTCCTAAAACAGCTCCCTAAATTGTTTAAAAAAAAAAAACCATGTATAACAACAAATACTTTGATCAAAATATTAAAATCCTATAGAAAACTATATTTTCTGTGTTATGGCAGCTCAATTCCCATTTACTACTAAATGATATGCTTGGACATTAAATGTGACTGCCTTATTCTGAAATAATTTGATAAACTCAAGTCAAATTCAGTAAAACACAGATAAATAATACAGTATCCTCATAAACAAAAATTGATTCAATAATTTAAAAATTTTAAATTTCAAATTTAGATTACTTTTTATTTAATTTTGTTTAATTTAATTTATCATTTTGACACCTTATTCCTGCATAAATATGAACTAAATAAGGTATTTAAACATATTTATTTTATAAACTTGATTTTTTCACTTGGTCACTTTTTGTAGATAAGATTGCATAATGGATAGGCTGCTTAATAGCAATAAATTTTATTTGCTAATTTGCTAAATCACATTATAAATTAAACTACATATTCATGAAACTGGAACAAATATACAATTATTATCATATAATAAAAATTCACTGTGGTAGATTTTATTAGTTGACCAAAAACCATTCAGTTGTGAGTATGTATAAAGTATGTATAAAATATAACATAACTTATAGTAAGAATGCTGCAATCAAAATAATTACACCAAAATGTAGAAGGCTGTATTAATTAATTCAAACAAGTATTATATTATATTCCAACAAAAATGAGTAAATTAAATAAGTATTAAAGAAAATCCAAGTACTATGAATGACAGAAATACATTGAATTTAAAAATAAAGGATAACTATAAAAATATGGCTACATCAAATTTAAACTGAATTCTATCTTCTATTAAGATACGCGATAAATATAAAATTTACAAAAATATGATGTATTTATCTAAAATTAGGTCTATTTACCAAAAAGACATTTATTTAAAATTTGTTTTGTTATTTTGCTCTAAATTTGTATAAACAATATTATTATCAGTAAAAGTTAATTAATAAATCAAAACATTTTTATGATGTGTTTACTAAGCTTTATTCATTAAACTGTTTAATTTTTATGTACAAATTATTAATATACAAAAATAATTTGTGTTAAATTCATTATTTAAATAATATATATAAATAATTTTAATGGTGATTTTTGGTTTATTAATTTTTAATGCCTTATTAGGGTTTTTTTTGAAATTCACAAAATGTATTGAATACTATTGAAAATTGTATAATTTGAAATTTTACACTGTTCATAAACAATTTTGACATTTTACACGTCTCTGTTGTTGTATAATCAACATATACAATTGTATTCTCAAAATGTGGAACTGTATACAATCCATTTCTACCAACTTTTTTCTTCAGAGAAATCTGTTTAATAAATATCACCAATCAAATTTTCTATGTTAAATGTATTTTTTTTCTTCCAATTCAATGAAAAATTTGCAATGAGAATATATTCACCTAGATATAATAACTGTAATGTTATTTTATTATAAATGTTGATAATAGTGAGCTCTTTGTCATAATGGCCAATTTGCAAGATTAGAATTGATACATTATTACACAGCACAGACCAATATCAATGATGTTTTCACATCAGAACAGATTCTATTGCACCATGATGATTTATAATCCTGTGAAATAAATTCTGTTATCCGTAGCAATTATTTATGTCTGGTCAGTTCATTTTATCTTTTCTATGTGTAAACAATTTTTCATTCAGAAATCTCGCTCTAATCATCAACTTTAGATGATTTCTTGTGCTCACTCCATTCTTAAAAAATAATTTCCATAGTATAAAAAAAATGAAGTCAGTATATATTTGATTATTACATTCAATAAATTTTAATTTTAACTATTTCAGTGTTTTTAATCTCCCAGTATCATCAGAATATAATCATTGTAACAAGACTATTTAAACAGTTGATCTAAAAATAATATGATTGTTACCTAATAACAAGGCTGGGCATTAACGAGTTAAAAGTTAAAATTAAATTAAAACGTTAATTTAATTTTAATTAAGTTAATTAACTTGTTACTTTTTTTACAAATTAACTTTTAACTTAATAAGTTACTTTTTTTTAAGATTAAAGTGTAAACTTTAAGTTAATTTTATTCAAAAGTATCTAAATTAAGTTAATTTTCGTCCAAAGAATAATACAAATTATTGAATGAGCTTATTAATATACTTATAATTTACTATTTTAGTATGAATTTCCTATAGACGAAAATAATATGGAAAATAACTTGAAGTCGTAATATGGGCTATATAATATCTACTTACACGTTTATCATTATCAATTGTTTTTATAATATTTTCAAAGGTAGGTAATACAAATTATCGCTTTGATGGGTTCCCTGAAGTGAATGTCAAATGTTGTCGTGAACGTTTTTCCATTATTAAATAAATGCAATAATCGGCAAGTCCGAATTTGGTTCATCAATAATTACCGGCATTATAACAAGTCATAATACTTATACGAATAAAATTATTTTTTGATCAATCGCATCAAGTATTGAAAAATAAGTGGATAGATTTAAAAATGTGCGATTTGTATGCGTTTTATATTATTGAAATTAATACCTATTTTTTCAGCATGTCCATCCAAGTAAATTAATTCAATTTAATGAGCTTAGAAAAAAGAAGCCATACAATAATAATTTAACTCTACCAAAAAACAGTTGAAATTATCAGAAGTAGGAAAAACTGTGAAAAATCTTAGTCAAACAGAATTTGATAAGACTAACCTAGAACTCATTATAAACACTATGTCACCTTTTTCTGTGATTGAACACCCTGCATTTATAAAATATTGTCACTAAACATTGAATAAAGTTCCTATGTCCAGAAGAAGTTTAATGAGAAATATAAGCTCATTGTTCAATGACATGATTCAACAACTGAAGACTGAACTAGAAAAAATTGAAAATGTTTGCATTACTGTAGATTGTTGGAGTATTTTTCACAGATAAAATATTATTTTTAAATTATTAAAAAACTAAATTTTTAATTGTTATTTAATAATAATATTAAACTTATATTTACAAAATAAATTTATTGTAGATCATATATGGGTTTTACAATTCATTGGCAGAACCCAATTACATTGGAACGTAATTCCTGTGCACTTGCTTGTAGACATATGTTAGGGAGGCATACATACAATAATATAGCAGAAATAATGAAAACATTTTTACAGAATTTGATATACAGTCTAAAACCACTCTAATTGTCACAGATAACACAGCAAATTTCGTAAAAGCTTTCAAGTAAGATATATATTTTAAAATTGCCTATTTGTATTAATTATGAATGTTATGATTTATAATAATGTATTTTAACGAATTCATTAAGCAATGATCGTACACCATCATTTTAAATTTACAATATATACAGTTTTGATACTCAGATTTTATTTTATCTTTTTCAACAGTATAAAAAATAGTAAAATTAATTAATCCCTAACCGGTCCGGTCTCTGGTGTACGACCATAGTTTGTTTTTACTTTTTATAATATATACTAAATGTCTATATTTATGTATTGTTATTTTTTGTAATAATAATTCATTTTATTTTTATAATTACACTTATTGTTACAAATTTTTCAATTTTAAATGTATTTATTTTGATTTCGAAGTGTTTGGTGTTAATAATGAATTGACAATAGTGGTTATAATATTGAAATGCGTGAAATTGAAAATGATAAAATATTGAGAACCGTAATTATCACTGAAATATTTGATAGTCAAATTGGTTAAAATATAAATGATAAATTAGATATAAAATTACCAAAACATCAAAGATGTGCAGCGCACACATTGAATTTAATTGTTGATATTCAAAACAGTTGATATTCTAGAAACAGAAAAAGATGGTTCATTTAAAGTACTTAGTAGATGTGTGTTTGCTAAATGTTTGTCTATTTTCAATAAGCAGAATCAATGGACACAGTGTGCTGATAAAATTAAAAAAATTCTGGAAAAATATAACACAAAACGCTACCAGGCAAGTTAATATTATTTAAATTTTAATACTTTAAAATTGAATATCATGTATTATGACTTATAAGTGTTTCATTATTAATAATAAAATAAATGATTTTATACTTCAATTTTCAGATGGAATTCGTTCTACAATGCCATAAAATGTATTGTTAACAATATAGATAAAATAGATACAATATTCACAGCATTTCAATTAACTCCTTTCTCAGGTTAAAGAAAGTCTTAAATTTTAATCGAATACTGCAAGGTAATACATTATTAATTATCAGAATGATAGGTATAATGAAAGAAATATAATAAATTATTTATTTATAATATTATAATAAATTTATAATAAATTTACTAAAGAAAAAAAATTGAAATTAATTTGTCACTACTCTGGGTAGAAGGAATTGAGAAGGAAATTAAATTTTTCTTCATGAAAAATTAATGGTTGTATGATACTTATTATTTTGTTATCTTAAGTGATGAAACTAATTGCAACAGGGTTAGATGTTTTACAAGGTGAACAACATGTGTGTATTGGATATCTATTACCAACAATTACAGCTATAAACAAAGCGTTAAATGAATTTAATAATTTAAATTTCTGTAGACCATTGATTTATGCTTTAAAAAATGAATTAACCAAAAGGTACTTTTATACATTTTTTAAATTTTTATAATAATCATTAGAATTCAATTAAAAAATCATATATTTACGCCAATGCTATTCATAAAAATTAAAACTTATTTATTTAGTTAAAATGGTACAAAAACATTTTACCGAACAATTTATATTATTATTACCCTATGTCGCCCATATATCTGTATATTTTAAAATTTATAAATAATAATGCACTTGTAATATTTAACAATTCTTAAGTTTTATGAATTATATCATTATACATTATACATTATTGTTACATGTTACATTAAATGTACATTATATTTTCAGGTTTAAAAATTGCATGCAGTCAAAAATACTACAAGTTTCTTCCACATTGGTACCAAAATATAATTAATTTGAACTAATCCCGAAGACAGAAATATCATAAAACAACATGTTATTGATTGTGTGCATTTTCATTTTGATCAAAACAAAAATCTTCTCTAAGTTCTTCAAATTTTGAAACAAACAGTGAAGATGAAGATGATTTTTTCAATTTTCCAATGATGAAATCTCCATACTTCATTCTGATTTCCTAACTTTAATTACTAATTATTTATCAAATACTAACATTAAGGTACCACTTGACTTAACACTTGAATTAAAAAAGGTTATATAGAATTTAAAACAATTATACCATCATCTGCACCTGTAGAGAGATTGTTTAGTGCTGGTGGTCAATTATTTAACAAAAGGAGAGAATCCATTTCTGATCAAAATTTTAAAATGTCTTTTTTGTTAAAATATAAATATTTTTAATAAAAATATAAATTATGTTTTGTCTTTGTAGTTAATTAATATTAGGTATATAATATATATATTTATTTGTTTATATATTTATAGATAATATCTATTTACACATATATGCTATATAGCCAAATAAATGAGATTATCGAAAATCTTATTTATATATTACCTAAATGATATGTAGTGACTTTCAACAATGATTGCTATAGTCATGACTCATGACTATTTCATTATTTATCATGTTTAGCAACAGTGGAGGTACAAAATTGGTATACTTTAAATAATTGCATAATAATTCATAAGTTTTGAAGAGACAACTTCTATGTATATAATTAACTATTTTAAATGTATAGTTATTTAAAATTAATGTGAATCAATTAAAAATATTGGTATCTTAGCAGTTAGGAGAAAACTATCAATGGTGTTTTTTTTTTTTAATTTTTGGATGTAAACCACTTGGGTAAATTGATTTGAGTATGAATTCAGAAATAGGAATTATTTTAGAATAGTAGGTTTTTTGATAGCTAGTTAATACTTTTATGCATCATTTTAAATTTCCCCAGTAATTTTCTTGAGCGTAAATAAAACTAATATTATTTGTGCAATTTTTAATTTTTGTAAATTAAAAAATTTTAACTTTAAACTTAGTTAAGTTACTTTTTTTTTTCTAAATTAACTTTTAACTTAACGAGTTAACAAAAAAAACATAAGTAACTTTTAATTTAACTTTATTTTTTTAAAATAACTCAAAGAATTAAAAAAAATCATTAACTTGCCCAGCCTTGCCTAATAAGAATAATTACGAATATTAATAAATACCAGTACCTACTTTTGGTTGAGCGGTTTCAATTTTTTTTATCAACTTAGGATCTTCCTATGACAGCTAGTTCATACCACCAAATTACAGACAGTAACTGCTACTAGTCATGAATGCCAAAAAGATTTAACTATAATATTAAGTTTATGTTAGTTTCTTTTCTCACAAAAATTACATGTTAAAATAATTAATTATTACAGAAATCGGAGTGACTTGTAGATTAGTTTTGTTGGATGTAATGAAACCAAACACAACAACCGCCATAGTTGGGTGGTCTGAAAACCACTCGTTCAAGTGGCCTTATAAATAGTTGTAATATTTAAATGTTGTTGGACTCCTTGGTTTGACTGTTATCAACATCCTATTGAACATCTTAACTTTGTAAGAAACATGTATTATTTCTAGAAAATACAGAAATCTTGTATAACTATCCTCTAATAGATATTTTACAATTTAAATATAATATTGTGATAAATGGCTAATAATATTTAGCAATAGCTTCACTATTGCTAAATTAAAATCAAAATTGTAAAATTCATCAATTTAGTATTTTGCAAAGTTTATGATAATTTAGTATTTCAGTTAATGGTTTATGTCTTTGGAAAAAATGCCACCAGTGAGTTAACTATATGATATAAGAATCAATAAGACTGACAAAGAGCATGGACAGTGTTTAGTGGCAAATCAATTAAAGAATTGTAAATTTTTTTAAATTAACTAATACTTAATCCTCAATTTTAAATTCTACTACTTTCTCCAAGTTTATGCGATACAAATCAAAATAAATAATTGCTTCATTCATTCTAATACTTTAAGTAATTGTAATTACAGTTTTACAATTATAATTTTAATGGCAATTTATAAATTATTGTTTTAACCAAAATGTGGCAAGAAACAAATGTTACTACAGTATAAATGCCTATAATTAATATTTTTATTCTCTAGCTTAGGCTTACAAGAATAGTTGTTTGAAACAGCATTTATTTGTAGTTACATTAGAACCTCAATAAATCAAAATTCAAACACAATGCAATTTTTTTTTACTGTATGTGTTTTACTGTATGTAGAAACTGTATGTGTAATTTTTAAATTATTATATAGGCATATATGTATATATAATTATAGTGAAAACCATTATTTTACTAAAAAATGATTAGGTTAAATTATGGGACGCACAAGCTAATTAAATAAATGATTATATAAATTATTCATCAATATTCGGAACACAGAATGTTTGAGATATCTACAGTTTATCTTTTGAGTATTTGAGGTTTTTGAAAGAGAATAACATTCATTTCGGTTTATCAAGGTATTCAACTTATCGAGGTTTCTCATTTTTTACAATTTTTTTTAAATTATTTAAACACATAGACACCTATTGGCTAGATACCTCAATCTCCTTCTGCACTAAATGAGTTTCATCAAAATAGTACCTAATGTAAATTTCATTATGATATTAAATTGAAATATGTTTAAACTGAGCAAGTTTAGCTTCTATTTGATGCTTCTTATTTATAAATATATAATATTACATTATACATGATATATATTATATATTTATTAAATGGAAAAAAAAACAGGAAAATTTAAGTAACATAATAAAATATGAATGGTCTTTTTTTTTCTCTGAACAACTTTTCTACTTGCAATTTTTCTCCAATTATTTTAATGATTGAATGATAGCGCATTTTATAAAAATATATCTGACTAGGAAAGTAATTTAGGGAGGTCTTTTTTGATTTTCTCAACAAATGGGAAAAACGAGAAATTAGGTACATTATTAAACAAATAATATTGAAGAAACTATACTTGTACAATGCATATGTAATTATTTTAGCATAATATGATGTATATATTGTTGATAAACCAACACTATCAACCAAAATCAGTTAAGAATCATTTTTTTTTTATTAATAATGGTTAATTGTTGCTTACATATACACATTAAATATAACAGTGACTGCACCCATTCCCATTAATCTTAGGACAGCTTTTGAATTATATAAAACATAGGTTACTTTAAATTAAGTAGGTGCGTAAGTAAAAAAAAAATGTTATTTTTCTGACAGTGAAAGTTGGACAGTTCCCTAACTTTTCCATGTTTTCCATTCTATTTTTTTTAATTTTTCATACTCACTATTAAAATTAAATCTTGATATAAGTTTAAATTTAAAAAAAATGATGATCTAGAACATTTTCATTTCAACAAATAATTTTTATTTAGATAACATAAGTATTAATGCATAATTATATTGTAATGTAATTGTATGTAATGTATATACTTAATATTTCAATTTAAAAAAAAATATAATTTTTATATTATATATATAATAATGAAACTTGGTACTGGTTCGTCAGTAACATAAAATAAAATCCTTCAACTACATAAAACCTTTAACTATAAAAAAAAACTGATTTAATTACTATTTTTTTATAGGTACATTGACTACTTCAAAAAAGGAACATATTGAATTTGAAATTGTATATATAATTATAATAATAAATTATAAGTAACTAATAATTTTATGTAAGCAAGTTTAACTTTCATCCAACAAATCAAGATTAGGGTTTATTTGTTTAATTAATTTTAGTTTTTTTTTCTTTAACTTCTCTCATTTTTTTCCTGATCTTTTTCTTGTTCATGAAGAAACTTTTTTTTTCAGATTTAATGCTGTCTTATAGTAAGTTTCTAGACTGAACTGTCATTATTATTTGTTTAGTGATATCTATTTGATTTACATCACCACCAACAGTCTGGATACCAAACCCATACATGTTGTTCCACCAACAATTCTTTGCTTAAGTTTTCAATAATTCATTCTTTGATATAGCTAAACCCGCATTCTACAGTTGTATTTCTATGCGATATCATAAATATCTTAAAGATAACTTACCTAATTTAATTTTTGATATGCCATGATTCTTGAAATCATAAATGGCATAAATAGCTAAGAAAATATTTTTTTTTAATTCCAGAAAAAAAATGAAAAAATTCCTGACTTTCCCCGGATCAATTTTAAATCCCATGACTTCTAGGTTTTTATCCTATTTTCTAGGTGTGGTGGCAACCATGTATTTTTGTAATTTTATGAATGGATGTAAGTGTGGAACATCTATTTTGTAATCAGATAAATCTAATGCTATTGTTATCATTTATAATTAATAATAATATTAAAAACTTAACATATAAGCCAACTATAATTTACACTAATTAAATTTATAAACTGATAACAAATTCGAAAGAAATCATACCTAAATATCAAAAGAAAATATTATTAAAATCTGATTACAAAATAAAGGCTACACACTTACATCCATTCATAAAATTACATAAACAAGGTAATCCGATTTGTCCATTAATTAAATGTTTCAAATAGATAAACAGAAAATTTAGTTAACTACTTAAACTAAATAAATAAAAAAAATTCAATTTACACTGGAAATACAGTTTCTATAATAAACAATAAATTTGATTTTAGTATTTACAAGAAACCTACACAAACTGATACTATAATACCACAGATATGATTTCTATATGCTTGAACGTACTCCATTAAATAAACATAATTATCAATATGAACTCAATACTATCTATAATATAATCCATAGAAATAATTTCAATTTAAATACTATTAAAAAAATTTATTAACGTATTAAAGAAAATATAATACACAACTCACCAAATAATATTGTTAACTATTGTAGTATGAAATATCAAAATAATATGACTGAAAAATTCACTAAAATTCTGAACAATACAAAAAATGTAAAAATTGTTTTTAAGACTAATAAGTTAATCAAACATGTAAACAATAGAACTAAAAACTCCACAAAAAATCCCCCTTTTGAAAATGCTGGCATATATAAACTTAAATGTAACTGTAATAAATTTTTATATACTCAGGATAAATAGTAATTTTAAAATAAGATATAAAGAACATATTTTTTAAAATAAAACTAAAGACTGTTCTTAATTCAAATCTCGCTAAACATGTTTTAGAAAACAATCATAATATAAGTTTTGATATTACTACAGACTTGGAAATATTAAATACCCAAAATAAAATTTACATAAATTCAATTTTAGAAGAATTACACATACACAATAAAATATAGAAAATATTAAATAAAGTTATATAGTTATATATAACTATAATCTATGTTATACATTTATATCTCTAGGTCTACTGTTCATGAAAATATTGGTAATGATATTTTTTATTTTAATAAATGTAAAGTTATATAAAAGAAGTACATAGTTAAAGTAAAATAACATTCAGATAAATCTTACTTATTCTATAATACAATTTATTAGGTTGTGCTATAAAAAAATGTATTAATAATTATATTATTATTAAAAATTATTTAATATTATAATAAATCAAATATTAAAATGTGCAATAAGTTTAATTACATAGCTAGAACATTACATAAGCCTGATCAATGTGTAAATAATAACAATCGGTTTTCCAATGAAGAGTATGCCTAAAGTAGTGACATTCATCATTAGACTATAATCTAATATATTATAATATCAAAATTAAAAATATACTAAAATTTAATTACAAAAAAAATTAATAATAACATTATATTATACTTTTATATTGCGCTAAAAATATTTGAAATTTAGTGATTCAATATGTGAATAAAAAAAGTTCAATTTGGGTTTGTTTAATAAAACATGTATGAAACTATGGAAATTTAAACATTGAAATACTGTGCCTTCATTGGATTGTCTAGCCCATTCATTTTCCAAATTAACTAACTTACAATCTTATCATATTATTTGATAATGATATTAATTTTGTTTAGGTTTTATACTTAAAATTATAGTAACTAATAAATATTTTTTCTTTTAATACATAAATTATCGAGAAGGTTGTAATTTAAATTTAGGCATTTTATTTAATAGGCCTTGTATATCTTTTTTTTCATCGTATGATTTCCAAAGTTCAAATAAACTAATGATGTATCTGGATATTTCTTGAATTTTGTCTATGTCTACATTGAGTTCAGCGAACCACGATTTGAGATCCTTTTGCATAATAACACAGGCGATTTGTAAACAACCTAAATTTTGTTTAAATTCTTAAAAAATGTTAAATAATATAACAAAAAAATATATATATTTACCAATAGCTATTTGATACGGCGGATATAAAAGTGATAAGTCAGTTCTTAAGCTATCATTGACAACTCTCCATGCCAATGCAAGTAGTTGGTCTTCATGCTGTCCAATATCTTGAACAAGTTGTAGTAAGGGACGATATGGTTGAAATACAATTAAACAGCAATCTAAATTTTCTAATAAGTAAAATTCACATTCTAATATATGATTTGTGCGATAAGGGAATTCTTGAGTATATGCATAGTTCAATTTATTTTTCACTGAAAAAATAAAAATAAAAAGTTAACCTAAATAAAATAATTAACGCTAAATATTTATTTTTTATTTCTATAAATTAAAATTCTAAATTTATCTTTTAGAACTTTTAATTTTAAATCATATTGCATAAATGCAACAGTGACCATTAATAACTAAAAAAAAATGTATACTTAAAAGCATTATTTAAATTAAATTAAAAAAATAAACATCTTTGTAAAACCAATACATTCTACACTCAGAATCTAAAACAAGTTAGGATAGCCCACTCTGTGTAGTATATTAAATATATTTTAATCATTTGATTTAAAACTCATTACACAATTTTGAAAGAATTTGATAACCTAGTATATCAGTAGTTAATACCAAATGAAAAATAAAAGTTTGTAGAATGTTGTTTATCAATTTAATAAAGATTATAGGTATCATATAATGTTGAGGAGTTATCTTTAATCCCCTGAACTAATTTTTATCCATAAAAATAGTCATATCCCTTTTCCCCCTTAATAGGTAAGAAACATTAAAATATCAAAAATAATGTTCTAATTTTACAAAAGTGGTGAACATTTGTAATACCAGTACTAAGCCTCTTAATATTAACTTACAAACAGTTTGACAAGTAGATATTAAACGACTATTGGATATTACACCAAATTCTTCAACTTTTGATGCTAGAAATACACAAGTCGGTGATAATAATAATGGATCTATACTTTTTAGAGAGTTTCTGGCATAAAACCGTTTAAAATACACAGTGGCTGTAGCAATCACTTGTTGTTTAAGCTTCAGCTGTTCACCCAAAATTTGTATAACTGGAAAAACGAAAATAATAGTTATATGATTAACTAATTGGATTTGTTAACAAATTTTATAATCACACTTTTTTATGATCAATAGATCTTATAAGTATTTAATTAATTCAAGTTAAACTTACAATTAGAAAAAAATATTCCTATTTTTTGATATTCCTCTTCACTTAATACTTGTAAGTCCAATTGGCGTTCTCTGATTAGATCTTGTTTATCCAGTATCCACTGTTGACTAAAATATTTAAGTTTTATGAAAATAAAAAAAAAAATTATATGTATGTTAGTATGATAAAAATGTAGGTATACAATCAACACTCATGATACCACTAACATTAATCTTATACTAAAATATATATTACCTATATTGATCTGGTTATTAAATTATTGATTATGCTAGATCATAATTGTTTTATTTTATATTTAGGTAAATTGACAAAATTTCGAAATCCTGGACTCAAATATAATATTTTTTTAAATTGTAAATTAGTATAGAAACAGTATATATGTCATATATAGATTCACATAAAAACAATAGACTAAAAAAATCTAATGAAAACTAATTGAATCAACCTTACTACAGGTGGTACTTACCAACAAAACTATTAAGTGTATCAACATTTTCTAAAGTCTCTTTATAATACTTTAATTTTTAATTTTTTAGAGCAGTAACTATGATGTGTGATTTTTTATATGTTTTTGTGTCTGTTAACAACTTTTTAGAGGTGATTGTTAGTAGCAAATTATTTTTAGTTGGTGTATTAAGATCTGAGGGAGGTTATCTTTTGATTTTCCATGTAATATCTTTAATTAGGAGAACTCAAGAAAACCCTATTTATTTGTGTAATAATAATTTATTTTATTTACTAATTGGTTTTTGTTGTAAATAATCATAAAGCCCTGAAATTTTTACCAAATACTAAATGAATAAAATTTTTCGGTTCCAAAAAAGTGAAAAACTAAACAACAAGCAGTGGTGTATATTAGTCACAACTTGGGGTTGGTGGGTAGCAATGTATTGTGTTTTCAGCATTCAAATTAAAATTATTTATTCTAATTATACTTTATATTTATATAAAAGTAATTCATTAGAGTAGCACACTAGATAAAGTATTAAACATTAATTGTTCACACAGAACAAGAAAAGCACAAACCTATAACTACATAATATTACAAGTTTGATATAATGATATGATATTAATTTATTATAATCACCATGGTAATTGTAAAAAAAAAAAAAATAAAAAAAAAGGTGTCCTAGGATAATAGGGGATAAACCATTTCTTACAAAAAAAAAATGATTCTAAGCGGTGTTCAGTTAATAATGGTTTTTCAACTATATATATATGTCTTATTATGGTAAAATATTTAAATAGGCATTACATATTTTCTTTAATAATATTTGTTTTCTTGGTTTTCCCATGTTTTTCACGTTTTCTGGAAAAAAAAACCTCTAAAGTATCTCCCATACTAATTTTCTTTCAGAAAAGGTGCTACATCAAAAAATCGGAGCATAAACTCTGATAGAAAAATTGTCCACAGAAAAAAAAATCTTTGTACAACCATAAGCTTTTCCCTCCATTCAGAATCTAAAAAAGATAGGTTTTAAAAATTAAAAAAACTTAAATGTAGTAAGTTTGTTTATTTATATAAAATAAATAACAGAACTACCTATAATTAGATCACTTATTTAAACTTTATGTTATTTTTAGTCACTTAATGGGAAATTAAGTTACATAGTTCTTTGGACATTATTTATTTTAGAAAGCTGTACTTAAAGTAAAATTGTTTATAAATATAAATTAATTTAATGAATTGTGGGTTGTGATTAACAATATTATCTCATATAATCGATATAGTATTAATATTAAAAATTACAATAATAAGATAAAGGTAAGAAATTGCATAAATGCTTTATATATTGAGACATTTATACAAATATATTGAAAAATTATGTACAAAATAAAAGTTCCTGATTGTTCATAATGTTATAAATTGTTTAATTAAGTTGAACAAGTAACATAGGTATTCAATATAATGACTAAAAACTAGGAAGGTGTAATTTTTAGATAAGTTATTGTTGTAGCAAGATAGTCCTAGTCTTTGGACACTGCAAAGTAAAAACAAAAATCAATGATATATTTTTTTTTCATTATCAATTTGATTGGAAGTTTAGAAAAAAGGGACGACTTGTTTTTTGAATTTTTTTGCTAGGTACTAGATGGGTGGATATACTTTTGTTAACTGCGTGGGCTGTCAAAATTCCTCTATGCACCACTGTAAACCAATACTAACTATTATAATTTATTTTGAAATCGCGAAACTAATATGATTTAAAATTTAAATTAGGAGTTTATTGAATTGTATGTATAAAACTACTTGGTTTTATAAGTTTTATCCTGTATACAAGTTTTTATATTTTAGATAGAGAAATATATATAGAAGATATATAGAGAAAGATTTGTTAGTTTTACCTGTTTTTTTTTTTTATGTATGTGTGTGTGTGTGTGTGTCTGTAAGCAACCTTTCTACCAAAAAACTCATTTTTTGATTTCCTTGGTAATTTTAGCTGATAAATTTAAAGTGCTAGCATTCCTTTTTTTAAATTTGTTTTCTAACAAATCATTTTTCATGGATTTATTGTTAGTTATTGGTATAAATTTAACTTTATCGATCCTACCTTCCCAACTAATCACCTACAACATTGACCACACTCATTCTCAGTATCAGCTCTAAATTAATATGGTTTCACTGAATAGCAACAATTAAATACAATTTGTTAGGTATATAATTATTGATACATTTAATATAGATTAATCAATTTTTCTTTAATTTATTATTTTAATTTTAACTATAATTATTAAATCAAACTTATATTTTTTAAAAACAATATAATAAAAATAATTGCATTAATACTTTAAATTTTTAAAAAAGGGCTAATATTAGGGATGGGATCAGACGCTGTTGTAAGTGAGAAGTTGGGAAGGTAGAATACATAAGATTATTTAATTTATATCTGTAAGCAACGATAAACTATTTCTTTACGAAAAACTATTCAGAGTGCAGTTCAGTAATACATATTTTTTGAGATTTTCATTTAAAATTGATTTCAAAACGCTTATTAAAAAAAAAAATACTCGTCCGGTGATTTTGGAAATTTTATCGCGTCTAAGTAAATCTAATATAAGTATTATTACCACATTTCAAGCCTCTAACTCCCAAAAATTAAAATTTCTTAAAAGCTCAAAAGTGGTTGAAACATTTTGGCCATGTTACCGTAAGAAATTAAATCAAAAAGGTGTCTTGTGATTTTTCGATTAAATCATTTTTTCGGGTAGAAAACGTCATCCGTGTTTTTATAAAATAATGAAGTTTTTAAATTGTACGTTTTCCTACTTTTTTTCCCCATTAAGTGCTTTTATTTAAAAATCGAAAATCAAAAAAATACCCTACTTAATGTTCAATCTAGACAACGTGAGATTTCATAAAAGTTGTTACACGTAAAAATCGGAGTTTCAAAATCAAGTTTACTAGGAAAAAACGTGTCCACAGACTAGAACAAAGATATAAACAGCATTGTAAAACCAATGGTTCCCTCGCTACACTCAGAAACTAATAACAACAAAAAATGCATTTGTTTTATTTTTATTTTAAATTCATAAATTCACTAAGATGGTATTGTTTTTACAATGAAGTGTTTTTATTTAATTATTTATTTTTATTAATCTATTTCAGATTGAACTCAAATATATATAAACAGTAAACAATTTAATATTAATACAGAATTAGAAACACTAATAAAATATTAGGTACATATTACTAAAAAAGATAATAAAAAAATGGTGATAGATATTAGGTAAAATCAAAATAGTGAATTGTATATAATTGAATTACTATTGAATAATAATAATAATAATAATAATATTGTATTATTATAATTAGAATCTGAATTTTCATGTGTTTACATATTCAATTGTGATCGAGTATAATATGCAGTCTTATGAGAGTAAAAAATGTGGATTAATTCAAAACACAAAGTTCACAGGTAAAAGTTTTTTTTTTCTCATTAGAGAATATTTAATATATTTAGCATATTTTGAAATATTTTGTAAATTATTAGAAAACGATTCTAATTTATTGTAATTTTAAATTATTATTAATATTAATTTTAATTTTAATGACCCAGAAAAAAATTTTATATTCAAAACATTTAACCACCATTATATGTATACATATATATTTTGATAAGTAAAAAATAAAAAAACACATATTATATGATGTAAATTGATTATTTTTGTATGTTTTACTAATTTTTAAGAGAATATAGGAGAATATAAGTATTACATGTTACATATAAAACATCTTATAAACTTATATTAGAAACCATAGAAGTGCACACGTGGGGAAGGGTGGGCAGCTGAACTTCCCCCTCTGCGGGCTGAATTTTTTTTGAAATAAACTAGTATATTACTACATTTATTCAGGTAGTCATTATTTAGGTAATCGTGTTCGAGACCTCGTGACCGATATAAATATAACATTTAACCACGAATCTATGACATTAAATGATCCAGTTCATTATTATTAATCATTTTTTTTGTATATTAATAAATAATAACAATGTATTATTTTGTGATTAATTATGAAAATATAAGTATAAAGCAAAGTATGATATTTGTATTATTATAGGTATCTACCTATTAAATACACTATACATAATATAAATATTTAATATTAGATTAACCTACTTGGTTTTTGTGATGATGAGAAAACATAAGTTTTGCCCCCCCCCACCATTAAGGTCTGTGCACGCCTGTGTTACCAACTCTAATTTGAATTGATTAAAACATGTTTAAACAAATTTCACCCATCATCCTTTTTTAGCAATGACTTATCGATGCATACAAACATAAATTAAATTACCCAGTACATTATACCTTCTAGCTTCTCAACTTGCCACCTACCAAGTTGTTACTTCCTAATATGAAGTATGTCTGCATTTTTATTATTTATAATTATTGTAAAACATTTTGACTGCTCTACTATTATATATGACTTGCAATTTATTTTTAGTAAAACCATACTCCTAGATTAATTATGTATTTATTTTTAACATGATCAATATAATTAAATATAACTGGTTAGTGTGGGAGTGATAACAAACAAGGGTGGCAGGGTATAAACATTTGACAAGGCATTAACAAACAAGTACCAAAAATATTAGGTATATATAAAAAAAACAAAATGAATAAACGATAGTTGTTTAACATATATTTATTATTTTAATACAATGTTGGTTAAACTATAAGTTGCGTGCGATTGAAATTAATATTAAATTTAATTCTCATCAAAGCGACTTGCCAAAACACTAATGCAATGCCATTGAATTGTAACCCAAAATGAAACTTTTTGAAATTGGTGGCAACCAATTGGACATAAAAATATGTAAATATTATTTACATAAATAATTTTTTATTTTTTTTTTAGTTTTGTTTTTAAGAATTCAAATAAAAACTAACTAGTATTACAATTGGGTTGCTGTTTATCAGTTCCTTTGAAAATAATACTTTTTTAGAGTAAAAATGAAAATAGATCTATGATTTTAACCATTAATAACCTCAATACATATAGGAATCTAGCTAATTTGGATTAATAACGCCAATTTGGACATTCACTAAATTTGTACCTATAATTGATTTATTTTTATTGTAGGAAACACAAATACACATAATATACCAATTTTTAATTGTATAGTTGTTAAAAAAAAAATTAGTATCAAAGTACAAGATACTGGTTTTCTAGTACCATTTGCAAACGTCTAAAATAAGTATAATATAATATAGATGATATTTAATCTAGTATCTGAGTTATATTTGATTGGTTTAGGAAACGAACGTTGGAATTACTAAACTATATATATATATATATCTCGTTCATTCAATAAAAACGATGAACGTATTTCACACGTAGGTAGACTATAACAATGTTAGGACATAGGCGGTATACTTACTAGTGCGAACTCTGCCAAAAATTCCCTGCCATTTTCAAACACCGCGAGTTCTTGAGAGTTTAGTAAAAATGTATTAATTTAATTAACAATATTACCAAAACGTTAAGTATAAAATCAATTATAGTTAAATCGTCGGGATGATAAAGACCGTTGTGGTAAGATAATAAGTGATAACGATCGATCCCAACGGATAACATCGTAGATTCGAGGAATTTTTCAGCATTATTAAGTATCTATAATATCAGTAAATTCATTGAATTTAAATGAATAACACCGTCACACGAAAATACATATTATTGTTTCAAATAATAATACATATTAACCGTCAATAGGTTAGTTATTTTCTAACGAATTTTTGGTATTACTGAAATGATCATTTTTTTTTTTTTTTAACAGGTTTATTGATAATATTATCGTTATCTTGAGTTTGTAACAATCATGATCAATTAGTGGTTACTTCAATATCAAAGAAATGCATAGATATATAAAGAAATATAAGAAATTCGATAACGATTAGCAGTGAACTATGTAGCGGTATTATTTATCTATAGATGATCTATGAAACAACCGAACCGTATTTAAGCCGAAAATATTTCAACATACAGTATTTAAGCCGTACGTGAAATTATAAGAAAATATTTACCAAAGCAGTAAAATATTTCGACCGAAAATAAAACAACTGAATGAATTTCAGCCAAAACGCCCGAAACTCTACTGATTATCAACTAGTACATTTCTTATCATTGTTTATAATCAGAAAACATTTGAACATAGAACGTCGATATTTTAAACAAAAATTGAAAAAGCTGTCCTTGGATAATGAGAACGGGTGCAGCCACTGTTGTAGGTGAGAAGTTGAGAAAGTATAAGAAGGGAAATTTAATATATATTTGTAAGCAATGTTAAATCATTGATAACGAAAAAACGATTTTAAGCGGAGTTCGTCTGATAATGTAATTGCTTTGACAACAATATAATATATAAGCAATATTATGATAAAATAATGACATAGGTATTATATATTTTCATTAATAATATTTATTTTCCTAATGTACCTATTTCCTTGTTTTTCCTAAGATTTTCCTGGTTTTTCTCATTAAGAAAACTACTGAGAAAATCAAAAAATGTCTTCTCTAACATACTTTCCCAGTCATATTTCCATTCAGAAAAATGCTATCATTGTAAATCGAAACAAAATTGGTTGTAAACAACTAATAAATTGTTCACAGGAAAAAATAGGCCGAAATATTTTTCAACAAGGCAATGCCAATATTTCGTACATTTTTCCCTTTCTTCGGTTTTTCACATTTGTTGAGAAAACTCTTGGGAAAATCGAAAAATTATCTACCGAAAATACTTTCGCAGTCAGATTTTCTTTCAGAAAAGTTCTGTGATTTTAAATCTGAACAAGATTCCTGGTAGAAAAGTTTGCACGACAAATCGAGGAGTATTTCGCGATTAAAATAGTTCGAGCGAGCGATGGCTTGCATCACTAAGTACACCCAAAATGCATTTATTTCGAAACTCGCGTTTAAACTCACGAGCCCTAGGGTGTCAATAGGTATGTACTATCATTAGACTACGAAAGATATATATTAAATTTGACAATATACAGTTATTTAACACAACATGTTATTTAATATCAGAGATTTAAAAGTTATAATTTTTAAACTATGTCAATCGGCTCAATTCTTACTTCACCATTGTTCTTAAATCGGCAATATACATAATGTTCTATATGTACATAATTGTACATAATGGATTTATATGCATTTGCATGTTCGTACTAAGTGTATGCACGTCTATGGGGGTTTAAAATGTCCACGGATCATATCACACCGAATTTAGACTCCAAATTTTATATTGCATATTTTGCATATTTCGAGGGTTATTGCATATTTGTTTATAAATGCATATAACATGAATATTTAATGGGTTTTTAATAAATTAACTATTAATAAACATACACTGGCGTCCCAGCTTATTATGTCGATATCATTCTATAAATAATCACATTGTGTTTTCGCGTAGCATTATATATGCTAAATTTATAAATCTTATTTAGTTAAATTCCAATACACCAGCCGTCGGAAATTCTCGGCTGCCCTGTCGACCGGTACCTAATAATAGCCACCACCCGACACGATGGCAATTAATTAATATTTAATACGCAGTCATCGACCATCGTTCGTTGTATATGCGTTTGTCCGCGGTAGTGTTTGTTTAGCCCGTTTGAAAAAAAAGACAAAATGCCAAAAACTAAGTCTAATTTGGGTTCATCCATAACTCGATGGGTTGAGCCTTCCAATCGCGACAAAACTGTGTTTAACACTAGTGGATTAGTAGTTTANTGAGCCTCGTAGCTGCAAATATACCTTGGTTTAAACTACAAAATCCAGTCTTCCGCTATTTTTTACAAAATTATACAAAAAAACACATTCCTGATGAAAGCACTCTACGTAAGTCTTTCTTACATCCATGTTATGTAAAAACAATTGAAAAAATTAGAGAAAAAATTGGGGACTCGTATATATATTTAGTCGTTGATGAAACTACAGATATCAATGGTAGTTATATTGCAAACCTTTTAGTTGGTGTGTTAAATGAACAAAATGCTAGCAAACCATTTTTAATTTCATGTAAAAAATTAGATAAAACTAATCATTCGACGATTTCTCGCTTTGTAAATGACAGCCTAAGAATATTGTGGCCTCATGGTGGGAATGATGAAAAAGTATTACTTTTATGTTCCGATGCAGCGCCATATATGATCAAAGCTGGTAAAACACTAAACGTATTTTTTCCTAATATGATACACATTTCATGTCTTGCTCACATGATCCAACGTCTAGCAGAAAAAGTTAGAGAAATGTACCCCAATGTAAATGCTTTGGTAAGTAATTTAAAAAAAGTATTTCTTGAAGCACCTCAGAGAGTAAATGTATACAAAGAAATAATGCCCAGTGTGCCCTTGTCGCCAGAACCAGTACTAACCAGATGGGGGACATGGGTTGAAGCAGCTAATTTTTGTGCAGATCATTTTGATAATCTTAAAATAATTTTACAAAAACTAGAAGATAAAAATGTTGTTAGTATACAAAAATGTATTAATATGCTAAGTCTATTAAAAGTGACCTTACATTTATTCAATCTCATTTTTTTATACTAGTAAAAAGTATAAAAAATTTGGAACATTCTAGTTTAACTTTGTCTGATTCTACTCAAATTGTAAATAATGTTATATTGGCGATGGAAAAAATACCAGGACAAAAAGGAAAAATAATTCAAGAAAATTGTTTTATTTAATTGAAAAAAATGTTGGATTCCAAACCGCGAAGCAGATAACAGCAATTTTGTCAGAGAAAGAAAACAGTATCATGCCACCAAACTTAACTCCTTCTATGTGTTCATGTATGAAGTTTGCACCTATAACTTTGGTGGATGTTGAAAGGTCATTTAATACGTATAAATCAATTCTAACTGAAAAAAGAACTTCAATGACACCAGAAAATATGGAAAAATATATTATTGTCCACTGTTATGAAAATTATTAAAAGAACCTATTTTAATATTTTAATTANATGTTATTTTAAAATATTTGTATTTTTTTTTTAAGTTTTCTATTATTTTTTAGAGTAATTTCAATTGATTTATTATATAGCAGTGGATATTTTCATTTTTTTTTTGTTTTTGATAAAATATACAGAATTTTCTTTGGTGTAAAAATGTGTTTTTTTTTAAATAAACTCATTTTATAAAGTTTAACATAATGCATATAATTGCATATTTAGCCACTTTTCCTTTGCATATTTGCATCATATTTGACACTTTTTAAATGCATATAAATCCGGGCTCTAGTTATAATCGTTGAATTTCTCATGAGCGACAATATAACGGTGAAATGGATTCTATTTTTATAGCACTATCGTAAATGACCGTGTTAAAATATTTAATTATGAAATGTTCGTTCATTCTGTTCTATTCTGCCGTTGGAGAAGTTTATGTCAACAATTGAACATTGAACTCCATAAACCATAGGTTACCAAATTATTAAAAATTTTGGTAACAATTTTTTCCGGGTGGTACTTTAGAGAGGTCATTTTTTGAAATCCTCATTAATGTTTGAGATAATGAGGGAAACCCCGATCTTTAGGTTAAAAAAAATTGAAATATTACAAATAAAGTTGTCATAGACAACCTTTTTTATTTTTTGTTATTATTTTTGTACCAAAATAGTTTGTAATACGAATATTATTTTTATTGACATCATTAACATAAAAATTATCAATACAAGAACCAATAGTAGTTTGATAAAAATTAAAGGAGGCTAATACATTGGAGTAATTTGTCACCATAAATAAAAGCAGTATTTTTGTTTTTATTAATACATAAATATGCTTCAAGAGATTCAATAAAATTAGTTGTATTAGTAGAAGGAGATCTATATATACCTAAAATAATACATTTTTGATTAGATATTATTTTAAGTACCTATTTTATTATCTTCAAGAGATAGGTACATTCTTGTAAAAGCATAATTCTACAGCTAATTATTTTACATGAACTATTTATTAATAGGGTTATACCATTAGCCTTATTATTAGTAGTATAATAATAAAATACTTAATACCTATTAATTTGTTATTAAATTGAAATCCATATCAAGTCGAGTTTCACCGAGTATAATAATATCAAAAATGAACTTCTATGGAACTTAATAGAAGTAATAAATAATACCGATATTTAATAAAAATTGCTATATTATGTTGATAAATTGTTAGTTTGTTAAAAAATCTGACAGAGCGAGTGAACTGAAGACAATATTGTATTATTTTATGTACAGACTCTGTAAACAACAACAGTAACAATGTATCTCACTGTGAAGAGGCAGCTAAAATAACAGCGGTCAGATGGAATGTTAACTAATTAATGTAAAAAGACGTTGTAATATTATTACATATTATTTGTTCAACCGTGGTTTTGAAGTCAATTATTTTCATATAGGTATACGAGTATGCATATATATATATAACCTTCTGTTATCATTATTGTATAATATCCAATGTAATACAATATAATAGAATACTCTTATAATAAGAAATTGACTAAAAAACGTAATGTTTATTTAAACTAATCATAAAACGATACGGTAAAGTTAAATGCGAATATTGTCGCATTTTTTCGCATTCGTAATATATTGCCGCGTATTGAAATCGTTCGTTGGGAAACGCAATCGCAAGTACGTTCGAAAAACGTTCCGAAACGGCGAATAGTTTTTTCATTATGCACCGGCGGAAATGGTATTACAATACTGTGAAAGAAGGGTTTTCGCCAGAGAAAAAAAAGGAGAATACGTATTTAATGTAATAATTACAACAATAATAATAAATATAACCCGGGCAAAAATATTCGCGCAAAAAAAAAAAAAAAAACCGCAAAACATTTAACAGGGTGGGCCGGGATAGTTTTACGGAGCGTACAGCCACGGCGGCGGCGGGAACGCCGGGGTTCGGACGCCGGGAACCCAACGCCTATCAACCTACAGAAAAAAAAAAAAAGCTTCTACGATTGCTGTGAACTCGGTCCTTTTACGGGTATACAAGTCGTGTTTCGAACGGATAAAAGTTCGATTATTGCGCGTCCGACAAAAGCGGTGACGCCGCACGACGGCGCTTTGCGAACGTTAGGCGACAATATTACCGTACCGCTTCATGTCAGAGTGGGTACGAACACGAATACGAATGACGTCACGGCCAACACCCAATTATTTCTATTGATTTTCACCCCGTCGCTACCTAACCGTGATTACTACCACTACAACCATTGTAAAAACCGTGGACCTAGCCGCATTTCGACTATTGTGCCTTTAGTACAATCGTTACAATATTATCCAAGTGATGAATATAATTTTTGTCAAGTTGGCGTACCGCAAGTGTCCAATTTACAACACCAGTTATGTCCAATAGAGCTTCACTCCTCCACTACCTAACAGTGTTTACTATTACTTCTGCCATTGTAAAAACCGTAGACCTAGCCGCATTTCGAGTATTGTGCCTTTAGTACAGTTGTTACAATGACCTCTCAACTAATCAATAACTATTCATTTGGCGTCTACAAGTGAGCTGCTCGATTTTCTGGATAGCTTATTTTGCTTTTAAGTTTTTCCTTTCATATTCACTGCACGTACATTTATTGACGGTTGTTGGCGTTTAACGATTCAAAGGTATGTTTGTAAATTGCTTTTGTTGTATTACATAATGTACCTAGATATAAAAATTAAATCCACTTGCGGATAGTACCTAGGTACTTAATATACTTACAATTTTCCAAATTGAATTTTATGTTATTATTTTCCATAGTTCTAGTTCAGCAAGACTTTTTTTTTCAAAATGTGTGTTTTCATGTACAATAAACAGGACCGTGCCAAGGGGAAGCAATGACTGTATTATTATGATTTAATGACTTCTGTGTATTCATATCAGTTTTTAGACGGGTTTGCCCCTGTTGTAGGTGGGTAGTTGGAAAAATAGGATACATGGAGATATTGTAGCTGTGTCCACTTTTGATAAATTTTCTGGAAAAAAAACAAATGCACTGTACACTACTACACTCAGAATATAAAACAAACAAGTTTTTTTTTACTGTCAGACTAGTGTAGGTATTTTTTTTTTAGTTATTACTTAGTTTGATATATTTTCATCTGGATAATATCATTGGAGATCATTTGGAACATACTTAGCCGCTAACTGCTATATATCATTATATTTATCTTGCATTAATTTGATTGGTTCATTTCACAATGCATGTATGTATAGTACTATGGTTTAACAGTAGTTTTTGACCAATTTTTTCCAGATTAAATTGTTCTTTAATAGTTATATTATTGCAGTATATACCATTATTTTTGTATTCAACAAACCCATATAACAGTATTGACAATTATACCATATTTTTGTTAGTAATAATTTAAGATTATGAAAAGGAACAAAGAAGCTTATGGTTTTCCAAAGATGTTTATTTATTATTTTTATGTGATTACTTTTTCTACCAGAAAATATAACAAAAAAGTACTCCGATGTATACGATGTAGACCATTTTCTGAAAGAAAATTTATTTGGGGTGGTACTTGGTTAAAGAAGTCATTGTTCGATTTTCCAGCAAATGGGAAAATCGGTACAATATTAAACAAATATTATTAAAGAAAATATATAATACCTATTTAATTATTGTACAATAATATGATATATATATTATTGACAAACCATCACTACCAACTGAACTCAGAATCGTTTTTTCGTTAGCAATGGTTTATTGTTGCTTACAGATATATATTTAATTCTCTTCTGTATCCTAATCTAACTTTCTCAATTTCCCATCTAAAACAATAACTACATCCATCCCCATTATCCTAGGACAGCTTTTTTAAATTAACCTAACTTATTAATTAAAGTTAAGTTTTGTTAATGTTATATTTTAATTTAATTGAAAAAAAAATATTTAACTTAACTTAATTAAGTTAAAAAATATTATATACCTGCCCAGCATTTCTTCTAGGTATATATTTTATAAAAGTTATAATTTTTTTTTTTTTTTTACTGGAAAATTTACAATATGTATTAACAAACACAATGAATAAATGTGGTAACATGTGTAACAAAACAATATAAATATAAATAACAGAATGGCATGATAATGTCCACCACCCAATGATATAACCCTTCAGAGTTAAACTAAAGATAGGTTATTGATTTTGTTTTTTTTTTTTTTTGTTTTATTATAACATAAAAAATCTTGACACCAGTGCCTTTTGAGACGACAAGGGGGGTTGTCAGGTAGTGTAAGTGAGGATAGGTGGGATAGAATAGAATTTTGGTGTTGCTGTAATTTTTTGTGAAATTTGGAACACACGACTGCTTAAGTTTTGAACTTGGCAATCCCATTGAAAGTGCTTTTTACTTTGAAATCACCACCGATAAAAAGAGAGAACTCAAAAGTTGCTCTGTCTGTTAAAAAGATATCCCCGGTCTTGGGGGGGCAGTAAACTGAAAGTTATAATTTAAAAATCTTAAGATTTCATGGTGGCTTACTTTTTGCAGTACTTTCATCATGAAATAGTAGAATTTGACTGCTTTTTTTCTTTTCAGATGCATACAAAGATTATAAATGACACAGAATCCACATCCGGTTCTGAAGACATGGACCATGAAGATACTGAAACCGATCAAGATTCCGATTATGAAGAATTTGGTCAACATGAAGATGATGACTTGCCGCCTCCAGATATTTTATCTGTTAAAGAAATACCTAACTGTTTGAAGAAAGTCGAAAAGATCATTGGGACAGCAACTGATGAAAATGGAGAACGCTTGTTTTTGATAAAATGGAAAAACATTATGGAACCAGAACTCCTTCCGGCTGCAGAGGCTAATGTACGTTGCACTGTAGAAGTCATCCAATTCTACGAAAATAGAATTGTTTGGCCTGCCACTACATAATGCGAGAATAGTAATAATTACATTACAATTTTGTAATTTTTTGCTTAGCCAAAATAAACTATAGTAAAAAACAAAAAAATATTTTGCCTTATGATAATATTATTACTATTATATTATTTTTATTTCCTAATGTCTGAAATAACTTTATCATTATGTATTGTATGGTAACATAAAATAACAATAACATAAAAAGTGAGCACGATAGGTATGTAAATTTTCTGATCTCTAAATTTATCTGATTTCACTAATGGATGTCATAAATATAATAAGTTTAAAAATAACAACCTAAATCTTCAGTCTTAAGCCCGATTTACACTTGTCAGACACAGTAGGTACACAGTAGGTAGACACCTACAGACACTGTTCCGCAAAATATTTTAATATGTGTTTAAATATAGGTAATTTACATTTGAACATTCTGTTCCATTCATACATCCGACATTCGCGAGAATGTTTTGTTTGAATGGGTCGAACACATCTGACTGATAAGTGTGAATGAACAACAGACAAATTTTATCTGTCTGCTGTCATTCAATGGCACACCATTCGGTATACACCATCATATTTCCTACTATTTATTTAAATTTTTAAATTAAATTAATATTTCCATGGACTTACAGTTATTAATTGAACTTGATACAGGACGAGAATACCTCTATGCAGTAACCATGTGTATAAAGAATCTTGCTGGAATGAAGTTTCAAAATCTATAGGCATGCCTGGTAATATTAACTAATTGTTGTTATTATTATTACTAGAGCAATAGCAATCATTGAAAAATCACAGTTCGTAAATTGTTTAAACATATTTCAAATGGTACAAGGTAAAGTTGTTGAAAATGAAAGGATGTTGGATGGAAAGTGTGAGTACAGTATGTCTGTGTTAGAATGTATGGTGTATGTTAGTGTTTGATAAGTGTGAATCGAGCTTTATAGTTAAATAATTATTATTGACTTAGTTCTATTTGGTACATATTTAAAATAAATCAAATTATTTCTTCACAGTAATCTGAAGAGCTTAAACATATTAAATAGTATTTGTGTAAGCAAAACTCACATTTTAACCAGTTTAAGAACTAGTTATAATATTATTTGATTTCAGTTATATCTAAAATTTTAAGTTTATGTTGCAATGTTGATTTAGATACATTGAACTTACCATAGTCCATCATTAAAAACTGCATTTAAACTGCCTACCAAATTAAAATGAAAAAAAGTCTCTGTATTTCTGATTGTACTAGTGAAGAGATGTTGCTAATTTATTTCTTTTGGTGTTTATTTTAATTTTTACCAGCAAATAGCAAACAATACAAAAACGATATGAATTATGATGAAAACAAAATAATAAATTACATCAACTAATTTTAAGGTACACTGAGTTATGTAACTAATTTAGTTATTTGTGGGTTGTGATCAACCTTTCAATATTTTTTAAATTAAACTATAATCAATAAATCTTAAATTAAATAATATAAAAATAAATTTTTATAAAAAAAATAAAAAAAGATTCCCTTTTAAAGCTATAACAATTTGTAATATGTTTAACCAAAGATTAGTTTTTGATTTATTTATTAATTTATTTTATAATTCAACCTTTTGTTTTTCTAATTTAAAGATTAACATTTTTTATCTGAGTGCACACAGGTGCAAAGTGTTAATTAATTAAATTAATTTATCTTAATCAAATTGTGACTGCCGTCCAACGACTCCAGGATCACGTGAGAATATCTATGAGTATACACCCTAGCGTTCCAACACCGCGGGCAGGTAAAATAATTATATTTTTTCTTTATTTATTGATCTCGTCACCGTTCTCGGATTCACGACTCCGAATCTCCTTCAAACATCGAAAGGAAGGTAGTAATATAATTAGTAGACTGAACTTTTATTATGATTAAAGATAAATCATTCTTTGTAGTACCAAAAACTAGTTCAATTATTTTATATTTATAGGTACATTTTTATACCAACTCCTCTGTTTTATTCTTTGTAGGTATTTCTATATAATATCCTATTATTTTAAATACTTTTGTCTTCCATTACTATGTATAGTGTCACAATAGTCTACTATCAGACACACCCTAACTTTTTATTTCTCCGTTTTGATTTTCCCATTTTTTGTATTACTACATATTTCAGTTCAATCTGAAATAGATCAATAAAAATAAATAATTAAATAAAAACACTTCATTGTAAAAACAATACCATCTTAGTGAATTTATGAATTTAAAATAAAAATAAAACAAATGCATTTTTTGTTGTTATTAGTTTCTGAGTGTAGCGAGGGAACCATTGGTTTTACAATGCTGTTTATATCTTTGTTCTAGTCTGTGGACACGTTTTTTCCTAGTAAACTTGATTTTGAAACTCCGATTTTTACGTGTAACAACTTTTATGAAATCTCACGTTGTCTAGATTGAACATTAAGTAGGGTATTTTTTTGATTTTCGATTTTTAAATAAAAGCACTTAATGGGGAAAAAAAGTAGGAAAACGTACANATTTAATTTCTTACGGTAACATGGCCAAAATGTTTCAACCACTTTTGAGCTTTTAAGAAATTTTAATTTTTGGGAGTTAGAGGCTTGAAATGTGGTAATAATACTTATATTAGATTTACCTAGGCGCGGTAAAATTTCCAAAATCACCGGACGAGTATTTTTTTTTAATAAGCGTTTTAAAATCAATTTTAAACGAAAATCGCAAAAAATATGTATTACCGAACTGCACTCGGAATAGTTTTTCGTAAAGAAATAGTTTATCGTTGCTTACAGATATAAATTAAATAATCTTATGTATTCTACCTTCCCAACTTCTCACTTACAACAGCGTCTGATCCCATCCCTAGTATCAGATTTTTTTTTTATATTTTCATACTTTTATAATAATTTTTTAAATTAAACTCAAGTTAAATTATTATTATAATAAATAATACTTACCTAACCTATCCATATCGTGGCTTTGAATTTAATTTTATATTGCGATTGCTTTAACAGTAAAGATCAATTACTTACAAGCATATATGGAGCAATTCATCGATGCTATAGCAGTACTAAAATATCACTGCTATAGCGGTAATAAAAAAGAGATTTTCTGAGGTAAACACATGAATAATATAAAAAGTGATGTGTTCGTGAACGTGTTAAAATTTTTCTTTATTTGAATTTGTGATACTCATAAAAAATTAATTGTCAAATCTAGGCATGGAATCTACATAAGTCTTTACTAATAATATTTTACATGGGCAAAATAAATAAATTAAAAGTAATTATAAATCATACTTGTAGTTTTGAGTGAATATCTCTGTTGGTATATCATTTAGCATGTATTTGTTCTAATTGTTTTTAGACAAGTAATCAATTTCTATAAAGTTATGATTTAGTTTTCTGGTCGTAACAGATGAGTCGTTCTAGCATATTTTACATCTACATATTATTATACTAATAATGAGGACGAGTGCAGCCACTGTTGTAGTTGAGTAGTGGGGAAGATGGTATAGATAAAGTTATTTAATCTTTACCTGTAACCAACGAAAAACCATTGCTAACTATTCTGAGCGGAATTCAGTTGATATTAATGCTTTATTAACAAAATATATGTTATATCATTGTAAAAAAATAAAATAGGCTTTATATATTTTTTTGAATAATATTTGTTTAATTTACCGATTTTCCAATGTGTTTTCTTGGTTTTCCCATGTTTTTTACCCGGTTTTCTTATGTTTTTCCCGGTTTTTCTCATTTGCTTAGATATTTCTTGGGAAAATCAAAAAAATACTTCCCTTAAGTACCTTCGATTTCCTTTTAGAAAAAGTGCTATCATTGTAAGCTTGAACATAATTTCTCGTAGAAAAGTTGTCCACAGAAAAAAAATAATTGTAATATTTTACTGATATATTTCGTACATTTTCTCGTTTTTCCTCTTTTTCTTTCGGTTTTTCACATTTGATGAGAATAATCTTGAGAAAATTGAAAAAGTATCCCCTCAGTTGGATTTCCTTTTAGAAACACTGCTATTATAAATTGAATAGATATTTCTGTTAGAAAAGTTGTGCACAGAAAAAAAAAAAATATAAATTTAATAAATAAACATCTTGTAAAAACCATAAGCTTCTTTGCTTCACCCAGAATCTAAAACACTACATTGCACTCATTTTTATTTTTTGAAAACAAATGTATTTATTTTTTCCCTGTTATCTACACGACGTGGTTATGCAAATAGATTTTTAGAATTCAGGTTTGAACTCACGACCACAGATACGTATCAACCCTAGAATACGACAGACTTACTATAAAATAGACAATATTGAGTTATTCAATATAACGTCTAAAATTTGTGTTTAATATCAGAATTTCATAAAGCTGTTATTTAGAAACTTTAGCAGTTAAACTATTGCGGGCGTATTTTCAAACTCAGAGTCAGGTATAAGTTGAAAAAACACGATCATTTTATAAGTTTATTTATTTTAGTTTAAAATATTCTAACATTTAATTAAATAACAAGTCTAACTAGCATAAAGATTTTTGCAGATAAGACTCATCTGAAAAGACGTTCTCAGCGGCCGATATATATACCCTAGACCTCCCAGCTAGATATGCTTAGTCCGCGCTTTTCGACAACATCATGTTATTGCATAGTCGAGTGTTAACTTCGTACATTGTCCCGTGCATACGGGTCTTAAAAGAATACGCGCATAGGTATTTTATTATATAGGTCAGGGATGACTAACCCACGGTTAACCATCCCTGTAATAAAAACAATAATAATTAATTCTGTTTGTTTTAATTAATTTATATGCTAAAACTTTTTTTATTTTGTCTGAATCTTTTATATAAATTGTATAATTTAGTATGCGGCCCGTGAGATTATAATGCATTTCCAAAGTGGCCCGCAAGATCGTTTGGGTTGGTCACACCTGATATAGAGTAATTATATATATATTTTATTGATTTATCTATTCTGCTAAAATAGTTCACTCACGGTCGTTCGCATTACGCTGTGGTTTCTTTGTACTTTATTCGAGGGCCATTCTGCAATACTCAAAACTCGTCTAGGTAATAGGTAGATTTAAAGATCCGGTCTGGTTGGGTAAATGTAGATTTGGCATGTAAGATATTTATACCTGTCTAATTTGACCCGAGGTATAAACCATATAGTTATTATTGTATTACAGGCCTATACCATATGCTATATTATATTATATATGTTGGGAAAACGAGACGATGCCCATAACATCTCCCCACTAAAAAAAAGGTTTATGTCTTTCTAAAAAGACAGAAATCTTTCACTATCTTTTGAGCACCTTTTTCAAATTTTAAATTGCATTAATAAGATAACATATTTGGTTAAATTATCGCTTAGTCGATATACATCATTATTATTTTTGTTAATTCATAAATGAAAGTATTACAAGTTCATTACATATTAATTTCCATAGCTTATTCAAATAATTCAAATAATGTATTATTATTCGCGTGATACATCCTGTGTGAAATTCTGAAGTATCACAAACACCTCCTCTAAAAATCTTCTAACCCTTGTACAGGGTATTAAAAATTGACTCGTGGCTCTTTATTCTCTCAAGTAATCGATCATATTCCCGTGTAACTCGTGTTAAGGATAGGGGTTCTCCATTTCTAAATTTGCCTGAACTATGTGTTTTCCTAAACATCCTAATGTAATATTATATGCTAAGATTCTTACCCCATGTCTATTACTAGTATCTTACTAGTTCTATTAGTTTCACGAGAAATTCGAAATCCCTTCTAGTACCCTTCAATATTTTTTGTTGAATTTTTTATCTAGTTGGTGACCAAAGTAGTCATTTTTTGATTTCCTTTATATATTTTTTAGTAATTGAGAAAAACCGGAAAAAATGCACAAAGTATAGGGAAACATATGAAAATAATTCTTTTGTTCTTTTAATGCAATTTCTTTTATAATATTTATGAAGACTTAAAATGTTGACAGAAAACTTATTTTTACTTGTTCTAGACGTCATAATAAAACTTTTAAAATATTTGAGCTATATTTTAATTTTACGAGTTTTTTACGTAATTTTTGTCTAGTAGACACTCTGAGATAAGCTGTTAGACTTAACAGAAATGCTTGACAATTTTATAGGACTTTCATTATAAGTTAAACATAGTGGTAAAAAAAAGAATTTAGTTTAATAAAGTATTTTTTTTTTTTATAGAAGATATAAAATCAAATTTTGACGTCAATCATAAATATTACAGCCTTTCAAACTATGTATTATGGAACTTCGCTCCGAATCGTTTTGCGTTATCAATGGTTTATCGTTTATAACAGGTAAATAATTTAGTTGGTTAAAAGGGAAGTCGTTTTTTTAGTTTTTTGTTTTGTAGTTTTTTTAATAATTGAGCAAAACCGAAAAAAATGCATATAGTGCATTCTGATGTTCTATTATCGGACTGAAGGGAGACCGACGACAATGGCGCCGAATTTTATTTGTTACAATCACGTCTCTGCTACGGCGACACGAATATAAAAGAAAAAAGAAATCGGTACGCATTCTTGGGATCGAGGGTAGGTTCTTACAAAAACCATCTGCTTTCCGATTTTATTAAAGCTATTATAATTACAATGCCTATGTCTTTTTTTTAAAATAATATAATACATTTTTTGGCCCATCGAAGACTTACCTTTAAACGCGTTCTATTACATATACTCTGCAGTTGTTGCCTGTATAAATCAATAAATATATATAAATATATCATAGGTCAGTCGCGTAGAAAAAAAAAGAGAGATAACACGTACGTATACGAAGAAATACGCAGGTGCACACAATATATACAATTTTATCTCGTGAAAAAAAAAAACACGTTTTGTCCTTCGGCCTGTCTAAAAATCGGGATTATAACAATCTGTGGAAAGATTGTCTGCAATTCATCCCTACTCGTTTTCATGGAGTTAGCGGACTTAGGAGAGCGGAGGGGACGAACCGACGCACAATGGTCTGAATCGTAATAATTGAAATATTTGGGTTTTATTTACATTATTGTTATGTGTAATAAAATAATAAAGTAAAAACAAAATTATTAAAATGTTTAATACTCGTAAATAAATAAAGTAAAAAACAAATAAATAAAAAATGTATATATAAAAATAAAATCAATAAATGAATGAATGCATTCACATTTTTATTGTGACTGATGATGAATTTTTAATTCGAATCCGGTCGTAAAAATACACTTATTATAATACTCCAGGCGATGCATTCATTCATTCATTTATTTTATTTTTATATATACATTTTTTACAATATTTAATTATTAAATTATTTTCAAACCTATTTATTTATAATTTCAATAATTATTAAGGTTTAAAAAAATCGGCCTATACATTTTGTTATCTAATTATTAATTATTTAGGTAATTCTTATGGTTTTAAATTTAATGATGGGTGAGTATAGCAGATTTGATAGTAGACTTGATTCAGAAAATTTTTAAGATATTGAAAAGACATGCTATTTTGAATTACAGTTTTTTCAGTGTTTTGGGGTTATTAGAAATAACCAGAAATTCCATGAACTGGTCGTCGAGACAGTGAGGCAATATAGGATTATGGCCTATTGCGACGACGGTAATGCGACGCATACGCTATCTCTCGAGCATTTTGCCGTTTCATTTACCTAGCATCGTCCATACGAGGATTTTCAACTATACGGCACACAGTCCACAAATTTGTCGTTTACCACACGTCGCACGTTGTTGTCACTCATCAAATCAACCGTTATTGGTAAGACGCGCATGTGTTTAATGTTTATTTATTTAATTGTATCAAATGAGAATGATTTTTTTCACATGATTTTAATAAATGAAATTTTCTCATCTGTTTTACCTATTATAAATGGTCAACAATTTAGAATATGTTTAATTTAAATTTAGCAATACATTTGTTTTCATTTAAAACTCTGAATCATTCGTTTTATTATTATTTTTCAGAAATTCATATAACAATGAGAGGTACAATATTCTTCATCATAGCGATGTTTGTAATAAACGTCAACTCGAAAAGTTTAGTTCCATGCTACAGGAAGGTTTCCTGGGAAGCAAGGGTTGGAATAAAAAACGGCGATAACCTTGCTATTGAATGCGAGACACCTATGTTTAAATTTTGTTCAAACCAGGGTAATTATGATAATATTCAAACCATATTAATTTTAAAATAAAATTTGATAATAATGTTTCTAGGTACTTTGATAATGATCTAACGTTTTATATTTAAATAAATGATTACATATAATAATTTATAAGAAACTAAAAACGTCATTTACCAAACAAATAGATTAATTTTATTAGAATTTTCATTGAAACGGAAAAAAATATACAGCGTTATCAATAACTAACATTCATAAATACCTGTACAATCTAAACAACAAGTGATTTATGAATGTTAATTTATTTTTAAATAAAAATCCTATTTTCTCTTATCGATGGAAATTAAATGGTTTTAAAATTGTATCTTGCAAGGTTGGGTTACTGTACAATTATTAATTATTAAACCTATAATATTGATTAGGATTTTATAACAAATCAACATCAAATTAAATTAATATTATAACTTATTATTGTATTTAATAGTTCAAAGTTACTGAAACATAATAAATATTTTTTGATAGTTAGTTTTTTAAATATTCTCAAAATGTCTGAATACATTTTAAAAAAAGAGCTGATACTGGGGACGGGTGTGGTAACTACCGTAAGTGGTAGTAGGAAAGGTGGGTTACATAAAGTTTTTTAAATTATGCCTGTAACCAACGATAAATCATTGATAACGCAAAACGATTCAGAGCGAAGTACGGGAGTACATAGTTTGAAAGGCCGCAATATTTATGATTGTTGTCAAAATTTGATTTTATAATTCCTACAAGAAAAAAAAAATGTTTTGTTAAATTAGTTCTTTTTTTTTTCTTCTATGTTTGACTTATAATGAAAGTTCTATTAAATTGTCAAGTATTACTGTTAAGTCTAACAGTTTATCTCAGTGTGCCTACCAGATAAAATTACGTAAAAAACTCGTAAAATTAAAATATCTATCTAAAATATAGCTCAAATATTTTAAAAGTTCTATTATGACGTCTAGAACAAGTAAAAATAAGTTTTCTGTCAACATTTTAAGTCTTCATAAATATTATAAAAGAAATTGCATTAAAAAAAAAATTTTAAATAACAAAAGAATTATTTTCATACGTTTTCCCTTATTTAGTGCATTCTTTTTCGGGGTTTCTCAATTATTAAAAAAAAATATAAAGGAAATCAAAAAACGACTATTTTGGTCACCAAATAGATAAAAATTCTATCTCTTGTTATTTTCTTTTCGGAGTAATATTTATAGTAGAAAACATATGCCATACAAATTTTAAATAAGAAATCGCTTTGCCGTAATTTGTAAAAAATCGTATGTTTCGTATTTTTTAGTTTTCCTCGATTATTAGAAAAAACGTCTTACTTTGTCAGTGGAAAAATATTATAAGGATCAAAGTTGATCGTTTGTTTTTTTGGATAGGAGCAATATTTCTGGTAAAAAACACCATGTTAACATAATAAAAACAATAACAACTTTAACGCCACGGCGTGCCGTAAATATTTACCGTTTTATCTATAATTTTCTTTTTTTTTTCCCAAGTATTTCGAAAACCCTTTGGAAAATCAAAAAATGATTCCCTGTTGTATCAACCCTAAAAAATTACCTTTCAGAAAAAGTACTACACTCTATACATTAGAACTAAATTTCTGGTAGAAAAGTACCAGTCTATATTCATAGACAGAAAAAAAAAAATAAATCATAGTAAAATTAATAGATGCCTCGCTGCGCTTTAAATTTAAAAAAAAAACTATTATACTTCGCATCATTTTTGTAGGTGTGAAGTTGGGGAGGATATAGAGGAGAATTTAATTTATATCTATAAGCAATCTATAAAACATATCTTACGAAAAAAGATACAGAGCGAAGTTTGGTTATACATGTTTTGAAAGAGTATAATATTTAGGAACGATTTTTGTTAAAAATAAAAAGATAAATTGTATTATGTTGAAAAAAAATACATTACATTTTTTTTGTCCACTAAGTGCTACTTATAATGAACTTATTATTAAATTTTTAAGAATTTCTGTTTAGTAAAATAATTTTAGCCACAGTGTAGGTACATACAGAATAAAATTTATATGTGACTTTTTTAATAAAACAAATAATCGATTTGACAAAAATATTGTTACGATTTATAAAAAAGATATTTAATTGTTAAACCAACATACTTTAAAATGTCATTGTGATAAATAAAATCCATGATTATATCAATAATGCAAATCGATTAAGTGAAAATAATGTATTCAGTTAATGATTTTTTATTTTTAGAAAAACAATACAGTTTAAATGATACATTTATAAAGGAAAATTAGTTCATAAAATAAATTAAAATTAAGTATTTAATTAAAATAAAGTTATATTGAAATAAATATTCTGTATACAAATAATATGATAAAAGTAAATACATATTTAAATGGAATGTATAATATTAATAACTTATGTATTTATAATTAAATATTTCATAGAAATATACAAATTAAGCATGTTTTTAAATTATATCATAGTATATATTTTTAATTATAAACAGTAAACTTCCGTTAATGGTCATCTCTTTGTAACGGTCAATTTTTTGGTCCCATCAAATGTTATATTGGGAAACCTCTATGGGAAACCTCTAAAGAAAAGTCATTATTTCCAGTCCCTTCGGTTAGGTTAAATTAAATTAAACAAATTAAATAATATTTAAATTTTTAATACATAAAACTATTATAATAAACACCAAATATATGATTAGGTACATATTAATATAGATGCAATAAACTTAATGATGTGTGTTTGAATATTAAATTTAAATTTGAAAATAATTTTTTTTTTGGTATATGTATACCTAAGTAATGATTTAAATTTATTATAATGTACACTTGATTCTTTTTATTTCCTATAATCGATTAAAATATATTAAAAGAATAACTAAGTATATATTTAAACAAATGTCAATATAATAGGTATTTAATACCTATTTAAATAAAAATATTTAGATGTTTGTATAAATAAAAAAGGAAGGAAATATTTACTTGTTTTTATGGGCAAGGGAGACCAGGTATACAATATTGTTAACTATTATTATTTAATAACACTAGAAATTCAATGAATTAGTTAAGCTGTAATTCATAAAATTGTTAGCACTAAAAAAATATCTTATTTTCAGTAATATCCTTTGTAGATTCAATTTCCTCTAATAATTTACGACAATTAATATCTTTTATTTTTTCATCCATAATTTATTGAGGGATGACAATGCATAATTAGCTATTGGCATTTTTGTCCAAATTGAGTTATACACTGATTAATACATTTAAAAAGATCGATTGGTGTCATCAGATTAAGTCGAAACGCACTATTTCTTATTCAAAATAAATATAAAATATTATAATAATAATATAAATCATCAGTTAAATTAAAACGTACTACTTTTTGATCCATATTGTAAAAACCTTATCAAGTTGTACATTAAATTCATCATATATTATATATTGGTACCATTGGGAAATAATATATTATAGTCGATGTCAATCTGAACCATCTGAAAATGTATTAATACATAATATTAAACTAATAATTGGACTCTAAGTACAGACCTCCCCCCCCCGCTAATGGCATGGTATTTTTTTATATTTTTTTAATTTTCTCTGATATTGTCATCAAAATTTATTGTAAATATATAGTACACATTTTTAACATTAGGAACAATATAGATATCAAAAATATAAATAAAATAATAGATGATAAATGATAATGTTACAATGTTTAACAAAATATCTTGTAGTCCGGCAAAATATAATATTAGTGAAAATGCATCAAAAATTTTAATTTAATAATACATTAATTAATTGATAATAATTGTGTTTATTAAGTAATAAAATGTCTGTATATATGTATTTACTCAGAAAAGGGATAAAAAATAGTAATCAAATTAATTTTTTTGGACTTCCCTCTCTCCATGGATAAATCCTGGTCGGGGACTGGAAGAGTATCCAAAAAAGGGATGACTTGCAGAAATACAAAGTTTAGGTCACATAATAAGGTACTATCATAAAATAAAATAAATATCACTAGTATCGTGTTAAGTATGGGATGGTATTTTAAAATATTAATGTAATGTTTTAATGTTGTTATAATAATTTTTGATTTCTTAATAAATCTTAAAGAATAATATATTCTTCGCTGAACTTAGAATCTAAAATATGATTATTTATGTTTCATATGACTGTTCATTAACAGCAATTTTTTGATTTTGTTTTAGATGATAAACATTTCCTACATGTTTTGTCTTTGTGCCCAGAGTACTTTACCATACCAAACTGTACATATGAGTGTGTAAAATCATATTTTAAGTATAACTGTGATTGTCTCATAAGGTAAGTAAAGGAACTTACTTTCTTATTATTTCTTACTTAACCTACCCGCATTTTTTGTCTCAGTTTATCTGTTGGACAACAAGTAAAATTGCGTTATTCGGAAAATAAATTGTGACTCTTAAGTTTTAAATAAGACTTAAATTAAATAACATAATTTAAAGAGAAGATTATTTTTGAGGATACTAAGTTGCTTTTTTAAAAAAATAATCTCAGACATAAAAGTTACAGATATTTTAAAAAAGTATAAATTAACATTGCTGTAACATATTTTTGTTTTGTAATATTTTTTAAAAAAAAATTAGCACCTAACATAGTACTCCCAAAATATTCTACTTGTTCAAATTGTGTTTATGTGTTTAAATTCAAATTTCATTATTGACTGCACGATATTTGTTTTTGTACAATAATGTTGCTATATTGTCCAATAGCTAGATTGAGATAGAATATTCAGGTGTAACATCTTAATATCTAAATGACTATGTCAATATATAATTTTTATAAAGTATTTAACCATAATTATTTCTAGGAAAATAGAGAAGAGAACATTACCCTTAAGTTATGTGTATGACTCTATTTTGTTTATGCCTGCAATGAAAAAAAAATAAACATTATACTGCTGATGTAATTAAAATAATATTATTGTACAATCATATAATAAAAAAGTTTCTAAATAATCATGAGTCTTTTTAAATGGATATTTTCCTTGTTAATCCTATTGTAACATACCTATGAAGAGTGGTATAATATGTTGTGGATACATATTTGAATATATTTTTATCTGCCAAAAGTACATTACATTAAACACATTGTAAACCTATAGCTTGTGTATAATACAATATTACTACATGAAATTCACATAAGTAAAGTATAATTTTACTATAGTTAATTTATTATTATTATAATTTAGGGGGAGCGAGGCAAATTGATTGATTCGGTTTTAAATACTTGTTATGACATCAAGTGGTGATTTTTTTAGGATATTTAGAAATATATGGATGATATGATGTAAATTATATCTATACAAATTATTATCTGATAACACATGAACTTCTGTTATTATTTGTTTGTTTTTCCTAATAAAATAAAAAAATTAAGCCTGCACTCAGTAAGCCTTTTGCAGCAAACAAAATAAGTAATTATATTTATTTTTGCATGTGTAGATAGTGGTAGTTGTTAGCAGTATATTATATTAGCAGGAACGTGAAATTTTATTTTACTCTGGGTTTAAATGTTTCAAATTTCAGAGTAACTTTAAATTCCTTATAAATATAAAGTAATAATTACCTACTTATGTAATAGTGAGTTAAATTTTTTATAAATAAAATAAAATATAAGTTAAATTATGTTAACCTGCAAGTTGATTTATGTATCTACAGAAAATTATCAGACAGAAATCATACAGTAGTCAACTTGTCTCATTGCAATGACGAAAATTTCAAATCTTCTTAGATTATGAAAATAAAAAAAAATACTAAATATTACTACACCAAACTATTATCATTTTCTCTTTAGATTAGTGGAGCGGCGCAACGCGCAGCGTTTTAAGAATGTACCACTATTCTCCCCGGACCCAAACTTAAAAGTGGAATATCTCGTCAACTTATTGACGGGAATCACAAACTTAAACACAGAATTTTATTTTTACTTATACTTCATCTATTTATGGAATTTTTTATATATTTCGCCATTTAGAAATCAAAAATAGATAGTACTTTTACTTCCAAAAATTAGGAAGGCAAAATATAATATAAATGTTAAATTTTAAAGTAGCTTGTTTCTTAAATGTTCTTTAAAACAAATTTTGAAAAACGTAAACACGTTCCGAGATAATGAGTGTCCTACGATAGATCGATCACTCAGTGACCTTTTGGCCATTAATAATTGTTCAATATTTTATTAAATAACTAGTTGTCCCGCGCCCGGCGTTGCCTGTGCCAATTATTATTATTATTATTTTACCCATATTCATTTTTGGTTTTGGAATGGCCATGTTAGAATTGAATGAAAACAAATAGGTGAAAAGTGGGTAGTCCACCTGCGGCGGCCTAAATGTGTTCTATTGTGAAATTTGAATAGTGTAAATAATAGAGATAATAAAAATTATAATAGTTTTATTTTATAATGTGTCGGTGACTCGTTGACAGGCCAGTCTGTCTCAATGCATTAGCTCGACGGCGTTCATTGCGGTGCTCTTGACTTTCATTCGTACGTGTGATCACAGCCTGGTTTCTTAAATTTTCATTGTCCTCGATTTTATTTTAAATGGGGGGGGGGTTGATGGATTTCAAAGGAAGTTAAGCCTAATCTAANTGTTGGCATTTAAATATGTGCAAAACACACGTACATAGGTTAGGTTAGGTTAGCAAAATTAGCCAAATCGGCCCAGCCGTTCTCAATTGTTATTTACACGCGGGTGCCACGAAAACCAATAATAAAAAATAACCACATAGAGTGTATATTATCTCTCCATGGCAAAATAATAATTGTTGAATATCGTGCGTGCTAGTATACTTTGACTTAAGAGGTCATAACTCCGGAACCACTTATCGCAGAGCATACAAACTTAGATAGTAGCCGATTCTCAGACCTACTGAATATGCATATAAAATTTCATGAGAATCGATCAAACCGTCTCGGAGGAGTATGGGAACGAACATTGTAACACGATAATTTTATATATAAGATGTTTAGTATGTTATGAATAATGACTATTTTCAATTTATAACTATAAAATATTATAGAACAGCTTGACATTATTAAAAAAATGACTGATCATCCCACGTGTTGGACTTAAATATTACTGTTATTATGAAAGTTGTTCATCTAGCAAGTAAACTAAATTACCTGCTCAAGTAATCTTAAAAAATTGACAGTTTATTTAAAGAAACACATACATTTCCCCCAACATTTTCTTAACACATTTTATTTCTTTAAATGGGAAGATAATGGTAATATTTATGGTCGATATAAAGTATTTAAATATAAGTACTAATATTAGTTAAATTTTATTATTGCATACTAATATAACTAATTTAGTTTATATTGGTACTACAAAAAATGATAAATCATTGCAATAAAAAAATGATTTTAAGTGGAGCTCTATTATCTGGGAAGATGTTGTTCGTAATTATTTTTCGCCCAGAGTAGTAAAGATTACTCAAAAATCAACAAAATAAAACCAATTAACATTTGTTATTAATTGTTTTTTTTTTTTAAATGTGATATTCATCTAGAACAGTGGTTCTCAATCTGGGGTTAATTACCCCCCAGGTGGTAAAACACGCTTTTTTGAGGGGTAAAGACTAACTAACCTAACTAATTTTTTTTTATTTGATGTACTTTATACCTATTATTATTATATCAGTCATATGACTGATACAGAGTTAATAATGTACTACGATTGTAATAGTTTTTTTTTAAAAACTTTTTTTGGGAGGAGGTATTTGTTAATATCTAACCTGATATATGGGTAATAGTCTCAAAAAGGTTTGGAACCGCTGATCTGGAAAAATAATTCAATAAAATACTGCAGGTGAACATGCTTTCTTTTAATGTACAATGTAAAAATTATAGAGAATTTTTGCTAACAAAATGGTATTTTCAGAAAATAAAATTTTAGTAAAAATGATAGGTTTAAGATAACGAAAATCTGATACCTGATTCTAGTTTTTAAGAAATACTGATATTCAATCCAAGCAACACAAATGTTTAATTAGGCTTCTTACATAATATTTCCATGTTGCTGTTGATATTGTATAATTTGTACATGTTTGCAGACAATTTATTTCAAATGATTAGTTTATTGTTTATAAGGTATGATAATAATAATATTATCAGAAATCAAATTGTGTGAACCCATCAAGAGAACGATATTTTCTTTTAGCAGACGACAGGAATATGGATTTGGTCGTTTGTGAATAATTTAAATATTATAAAATAAATGTTTAGTATTTGATATTTAATATTTTAAAATAAATATGAATGCGTTAATTAAAATTAGTACTAATTAATTATTAACGAAGTATATTATACAATTTGGTACTTATAATAATCTAATTATTAATATAAATACATTGTTATATTTAAATCACAATTAGAATTTGATATATATTATATATGTTCGGCGGAATTTGAAATCGTAAGTATTAATTGTTCCAGACTTAATTAAATAAATCGTATTTGTTTTTATTGTATTGCAGAGATGATATTAATTTTTATTTTTTTATATTCCCCCTTCAAATTGTTATGTTATGGTTGAATAAAATCTGTTAATAAATAATAAAATAAATAAATGTATGCATTTATTTTTGAAAACAAAATGAAAAAGCACGGATATACTTAAATATAGGTTGGAAGTTAGAAAGGTAAGATATAGGTGGGAATTTAATGTATATCTGTAAGCAAAAATAAACCATTGTTAACGAAAAAACGATTCTGAGCAGAGTTCAGTTGATAATGTTTTTTTATCAATAATACAATTTATGGTATTATGCCATATTATGGTAAAATGATTATAAAACAATGCGCGTTTCCATAATAACAATGGTTGTTTAAAAAATATTAAAATAATACAAATTTAATAACAAAAAGTAAATAAAAACGGTTGCGAATGATAAATTTATTTTTAATCTTTCAATAATCTAAAACATCGGTTTCCTCATTATCTTGAATATTAATGAGAATTTAAAAAAATGATCTCTCTAAAGTACCACTAGAAGAAAATTTTTTTCAAAAACAGATGATCGGGAGTATGCTTTCTGGTAGAAAATGTGTTCACATAAAAAAAAAAATAAACATTATTATAAAACCAATATAAAAAAAAGCATGCATTGAGATTAAATGATTTATGTACTGTTTGTAAAAAAAAAAAAAAAAAATACTGTATTATGTACCTATATTATTTAGGTACTGGTAATACAATGACACAAAATATTGTAGTTCATTATTTTAATTAATGTATAAAGCAAAACTTGGACGATTATTTTTAATGAAATATTTGTTTGGGTGTTACTGTTTTCCACCAAAAGTAACCTTTTTTTCCCATCAATACACGTTTCCATCAAAGGCTACTTGTAAAATCCTACAAAAATGACCTTTTTACCTGTATTTAAAACATAATGTAAACTTCTACATAGTTTCTTATACTTGTCAAAAATAGATGGTGTGATCTCCTACACAGACCTTTTTACATTTTAGATTCTGAGTGTAGCGAGGAATGTATATTGGTTTTACAATGATGTTTATTTGAGATAATTGTACTTAAGTGGGGAAAAACGTACTATTTTACGATTTCATTATTTTAAATAAATATGCACGACGTTTTATACCAGAAATAATTCTCTTATGGAAAAATGAGACATTTTTTGTTGCGTTTTGGATAAATATTATTGATAATACAATTTAGTAAAGATATTAATATTGTATCGGAAATTTTCGAATATTTTGAAAACGTATACGTTATTTCCATAAATTGGAAATACAATAATCTTTACCTCTTATTTTTATAATTTATGACTGCTTTTTATTTATTTTAAAATACCTTATTTTACTTTTTAAAACTTTACAACTATCTAGTGTAGGAGTTAACACTAACTAGGAGTTAACA